CTCTCTCCTAGGCCGGAATATCCCCATTCCCCAGGCCCTTTCGCAAGCAATACCTCATCTGCTGCTCTGTCGTGCACCGTGACCCGTCGGCCCGGGCCTCTACAGACTCATACATGTGGGAGACACTATTCCTTAGTGTGCAATACGGTGCCACAGACGGTCTTTCTGAAACTTGGAGGTGGGTGTACGGGCGATTCAACTCAATCCACAGCCAACTGCTTCTCGATTCAGTTGGTCAAACATGCTGTATACTTACTCCAACGCTATCATGACTTGCAGTTTCATGCGAGTAACTCCGTCAGGTTGCCAACTCATCAACTAAGTTGTGGATGATGCGGGGTCACAGGGCTACCATGGAACCAATCCCATACTTTCTCGAACTATATCAGAGCGGCATTATACACAAGGTTACCGATTTAGAAATCAGCGTTGACTAAGGTTGCTGGATACGTCTATTGATAACAAGATTGGATACGTCTATTGATCATGGGCCACCGTCCACCTGGTGGCCATGGACCGACGGAAGCGTTTAGTCCCTACGGTTAGGTAGTGGGGAGCAACGCTCGCTAACGGGCAGATTTCAGAAGCATCTTAGCACACAAGTACCGACACAAACTACCACCACCCAGAGGAGCTGGATGCAGCGATAATTGACCATGTTAGAGATACTCGCGCGCGTATTTAGGCTACTGAGGCCTAGCGCATAGCTCGCGCCACTCCCCTAGAATCGCAAAGGAAGAGAGATCCAATTGGACCATAACCGCCGACAATCCCGTCGCCTGTCCTTCTCGGCTTCTCCTGACTTCATCCGCACCACCTTAAGCCTTGACTGCACGTGGCCGTTTCTGTTCATGCGCTGTCTCAGCGTGGGCGCCATGGCTCTTGCCGTCAGCAATTAATCTCCACCAATCTGACGGGTACAATTGTGTTGTCCAGAACCCAAAAGACGACGACGATGTTCCCGCTTAGAACCTGCGTACACACAGACGTTGCAGAATTAGATATGAGCCGGGTGAGCCCTTATACGGAGTATGGATGCAGACTCCGGCTCCATTGGCTTTGCTTATACTTTCGCGTGGACGGGGCATTTGCAGCCGGGCAGCAGCCTTACAGCTATCTTATCCACCACATCCCTGTCCGCGGCAAATGAGTGGCAGTGAGTGGCCGAGACAGCCAAGATCGATGGATCTTATGCTATTTTCGCACGCGTTTGGGGTTTGAACCAGGAAAATTCTCGCCGCCCTTGACAACGTGGCTAGTGTCATGCCCTCATCCAATTATCATAACGAAGGCTGATGACTTGCAGGGATAACCCGAGTAAGTCGCTGCCTCGACGCCGTCGCCGATCTTCTGATATCAGTCACGGACATGGCGTGTACATGCGACGACAGGCGAGGGTCTCAACCTCCGAGCAGCTCCCTCGCATCACACACTAGGTATCTGGTTCTCCTCCCCTAGTCGATGACCGGAAAAGTCTTGATTGTGTTATGATTGGGAATATCATATATGACTACGAGTATCCTCCGTAACAACGGGAGGAAGCTATATGCGGTAGACTGTTCCGTCTAGTGTGTCTGATTGATAATTGCCTAAAGCGCTATTGCCATTTGCCACTATGCGCCATCTCTCGTTCTCAGCTGTCCGGACGCCGAAAATGGAATGAGATGCAGAACAATAGCCGGACCTTTAGCCTCATAAATGGACTCTACGCCATATGATGGATTCAGTGCCACTATGTGCCACTATGGGGGCTGGGGGTCAACCAAAGTACCATGGTCGTTCCTGGCCGGGGTGGCGGTTACTTCCTTCCCCGTCTGCGAGACACCCTCGCACTTCATCAATGGTTCAGATCAACGCACATACTGCGTCATGCAGCGCCATTGCCCCAGTTCCTACTACACCTACCGCTTGAATACGCTCATAAAACGCGCAGACCCACAGGTGGCTGGCCGGCTTCCTGGATCCCAAAGTTTATACTACGCAGTGCAGAACGCAGCGACAAGGATATGGCTATGAGCCTCACATCAAGTCCATCACAGCGCGAACAGACCACCAGGGCCCTTTAGGGGAAGCTCATATGCAGCCGCATCTGGAGCTATAGCGCCTGGGGCTATAGTTCTCCCAAAGTCTAGACCCTGGAGCTGGGTATGGAGATATACGTATCTCATTCTGCGCAGTAAGATTCCTTGGCGGGTGCACCAAGACCATATTTGAGGGTCCTTGATGAGGACTGATGACGAACACTGATATGCACGTAGATACTTTGGTGTCAAGTGTGTATGCGGACTTCACGACGAGTCCATGACAGCGCAAACGGACCAACCGGGGAAACTCCGATGCAGCCGCATCTGGAGCTATAATTCTTGAGTCTAGACCCTAGAGCAGAGGATGGAGCTGCGCAGTGAGGCTTCGTGGCGCTCGCATCAAGAGTCAAGACCATATTTGAGGGTCCTCGATGATAACTGATGACAAACTGATATGCACGTAGATACTTTGGTGTCGAGTGCGTATGTAGACTGGGAAGGGCGCATTGAATCTCAATGCCGGTGATTCCTGTATCGACTATCCCTATCCCCACGCAATCCAGCACTGACTACTCCGTCTGCATCTCATCGTCCGGTTCATCGAGATCCACGCCTCCCCGGGGTTGGATTCAGGCCAGCCGTCAACAGTCTAGGGTTACCGTTCATTTGGCATAGTTGGACGAGCCGGACGGCGGGGCGAACCCCTCGCGGCCCGTTAGCGTTTCGTACTTTCTGTCAGTGTCCAGGCGCTTACTGCAGGACCGCGGAGATGAGAGGGCCGGGGGATCTGATATCCTCCTGTGGAAGTCTGGTGAGCGGGAAGGTAGGTTCCGTCGAGGGGCTGTTGATGGCGCCGCCTGCTCTACTGATCGGTGCAGCATTATTGGTACCCGCGTCGGGAAATATACTCGGTGTGAGTACCCAGAGTACTGTCAACGTTGAACAAGTTCAACTGTTCGAGGCCGCTCCCTAGACAAGCGATGTCTAGTGTGGAACCCGCCTAGCAGTCCAACTGTGCGCCGTCTACCTAGAACGAAGTACTCCGTAAAGGACCCGCGACTAACCTGTCCCGCCATCAGAAGAGTTTGACCCAGGGCCATAGCCGCGTTATCCTTTGCGCTCTTCGATATACTTGGCTTCACCAGGTCAAGTTCATTCCTTCAGGATCATTAATCTCCTGTAATTGTATACTCACCTTGATAGAAGCTCGGACTTGATCTCCATCTTCAAAGCTCACAGTAAGTCTAAGCGTACCCCACCCCAAATCGAGTGGGAGCTGGAGCCAGGAGCCTGAGGCGAGGGGATTGGCCGGAACTGAAACGCCGCTTGACTGGGGATTATGGGGAAGAGCTAGTAGCTATCCCCATAAGCAAAACAACATGAAAAGAAAGGAAAGAAAAAGTAAGTATAAGAAAGCAAGAGAAGAATGAGCTGTGAGCTGGGGGTGGTGGAAGGCGTCCCGAGGACGGGGATGGCCAGTGAGAGTCGAGCGTCAATACGAGTCCCAGTGCGGAGTCGCTGGTCGTGGTGATCGATCTGCCGATCGATCGGCGATGAGTCTGTAGTCTGTCTGTACTTTGTAGGTTCCTGTTCCTACCTTCGTCGCACCAGCCCAGTGGACTCGTCCGTGCACTGCGCGTCCACCGTCTGTGCTCTGACCCCGTACCCACGGCTACGGCTACGGAATACGGAGCAAGGCACACTGCACAGGAACAGCGGGAGGCTTGCCCAATTCCAAATACTTCCCTGCCAATGATAACGATAGCACATCAGATAAGGGTAAGACGGCCGTACTTTCGCACGGAGACTTTAAGCGAGGTCGCAGGTCAGGTGCGGTGCTAGATTGTGCTGACAGGGGGACCCTACAGCCCTGGCTAGCTCACACTCAGAGCTGGGAGAAGTCGTAGGGCTACGCGAGGTCGCAGGTGTAAGCAGCAAGCAGCAAGCTCCGGTAGCCCCCTGTCTGTGCTGCCATTGCCACCATACCGTGCTTTACGAGCTTCAAGTAAAAAGCAAGTAGAAATATGTATAACAGACTCCCGTATAGTAAGTATATAGTAAGTATTAATATTTAATAAAGCAAGAAAAAGATGCTACGTAGTACTGCTGCCAGTCTCCCAGTTCCGCCTGGCCTCTGTCTGTCGTTATAAATATCCCTATATCTATATATCCGAGATCTCTTATAGCACCACAGAGTACTGAGTATGGCAGCTACAAAGTAAACGCCGTGCCTGGCCCCGAACGGACCGCGACTCCAACCCGGAACCCAAGTTCGCGATCCTGTCAGATGAACGCAAACTCGTTCCTGAGACCCTGTCCTGCCTCCTGAAGCTCTCGGTTTCAGTGTCACTACTGTCAAATTCAATGAATGGCATTGTAATGTCTCACCTCAGCGTGGCGCCGCCGCCGCCGCCTCCTCGGCGCGATGCTCGAACTGGAGCTCGAGCTGGCCCTGCTCCTCGACCTCGACCTCCGTGCATTCATTTCTTGGGGTCTGCGTCTGCGTCTGCGTCTGCCACATGCGCGTGCGTGCAGCAAACATGCAGCAAACATGCAGTGTCATCTGGCATCCCTACACCGCTGGATGAGACGGGATGCGGATCGAATCGAATCGATGGCGATGGCGATGGCCAGGCCAGGCCAGGCCAGGCTTTCAGGACCCTGGCGGCATGTTTCATTCATGAATCATCTCATCTCGGGTCGTCTGGACTGGGAAGGTCCAGACTGGAATGGAATGGAGGGAAGGAAATGGTTTCGTTGTATGTGCAATTAGACTAGACTACCTATGTATGGAGAGAACATAATAAGGATGATGATGTGGTGATGATATAGTCAGTAAACAAAACGCCTACCCAAGCAGTGAAGAAACGGAATTAGGAACGAGCTATAGACAATGGAAGCAAACTTTTAGATGATTTTCTCTCAACCTTTCCATGTCCTCCTTCTCTTGCTCGCTTAGTCGTCGCGATGGATGCCTCACTGTGCGGTGATGGCATTCCCATCGCCGTCAAGCAGCCCAGCCTCCTTGACCAGGTCGTAGAATTTGCCGCGCTGCTTGATCAGCGTAGCAGGGGAGTCGAATTCAGCCACGCGGCCTTTATCGAGCACGACGATGCGGTCCGAGTCGATGATCGTGTTGATGCGGTGCGCGATCGTGATGATCGTGCGGTCTTGGAAGATGTTGCTGCGGAGGGTGCGTTGGAGGAGGGCGTCCGTTTCCACGTCAACAGCGGCCTAGTGGTCTTGTTAGCTTCGTGCTAGGGCGGGATGAAAAATCGGTGAGCTCACCGTTGCTTCGTCAAGAACGAGGATGTTGCTGGGAGTGAGGAGCGCGCGGGCGAGAGAGATCAGTTGGCGCTGGCCTTGACTCAGGTTGGATCCTGTTGGTCGGTTAATAATTTGTGACGCAAGGGATATACTAGATGCATGTACGTACCTCCTTCTTGAACGTGCGCATCCAGCTTGCCCTCCATTTGAGAGACGTGGTCCTTTAGGCGGGCGTGCTCTGCATACAGTCAGTATTTGCACGACTCGTGGTCAGTCGCTTGAGCACATACCGAGAACGCTCCACAGTTCGGTGTCGTCGTGCACATGGCGGGGATCCAGGTTGTCTCGTACTGTCCCTTCAAACATGGCTGGGTCCTGGGGAATGATGGCCAGGCGGCCACGGAGATCACGCAGTCCGATCGTCGAGACATCCAGGTTATCAATGCTGATTCCGCCGTCGGTGGGCTCGATGATGCGGAAGAGCGCCAGTGTCAGCGAACTCTTTCCGGCACCCGTACGTCCAACGACGCCGATCTTCTCATGAGGCTTGATATCCAAGCTGACGTCCTTGAGAACGAGGTCTAGGCCCTCACGGTAGCGGGTGCTGTAGTTGTGGAACGACACCGCTCCCTGCGCCGGCCATCCGGTAGGCGGGCGGTTCTTGAAGATGACCTCTGGCGCCTCGCTCGGAAGGCTCGCGTACTCAAGCACACGCTCGACAGACACAATGTTGGTCTCAACCTCGACAGTCTGTCGGACGATCCAGTTGAGAGACTGCGTGATCTGGAGAGCGTAGGACATGGCCAAACCAACCATTCCCGCAGACAGCTTGCTGCCGGTCGAAACAGAGATGATCGAGAGCAATGCAGACACCAAGATGATAACCGAGCCAATGAACTCGAGGCGCACGGCAAGCCATCGGTTCGCGCTGATGGATGGAAAGTAGGCACGGAGGTTCGCATCCATACGCCACTCGTTCTCCAGGCTGAACCGTTCTTCTTGTCGGTACGCGCGGATCGTCGAGATTCCTCCGAGGGACTCTTGGAAGTGCGCGAAGATGGGACTCCGAGTGACGCTGTCGAGACGCTTCAACTCACGAGATGTGCGAAGGTAGTATTTCTGGTAACTGAAGTAGACATATCCCAAGGGAATGACCGCAATCAAGAATGGAGGGGTGGAGATAGCAATAACGAGCAAGGTGAAGATCGCCTTGGCAGAGTTTCCAAAAAGCATGTTAAATGTCCGGGCAAGAACCTCGTCAATGCGATATATGTCACTGGAGAATCGGTTGAGAACGCGACCAGACGGTGTCGTCTCGAAGAAGCGCATCGGGGACCGGAAGATAGAGAAGGCCATCCGCTCGTGGAGCTTGCGAGAAGCCTCAATCGAGCAGAAGATCCACAGGATAAGATTCTGAAGAATAACCAAGAAAGACGATCCAAGACCCAGGGCCAGGTAAACTCCAATAAACTTGCCAGCGCCAGCTGAACCAGACTGTGTCTCGCTCATCTCAGTCCAGTGCTTAAGCCAGTAACTGCCGCCGACCTGCGCTGTTTGCGCGCCGACGAGGGTGACTAGGTAGAAGGCAACGGCAATTAGATTGCTGTTCTTCGCGTATTCTCCATAGACGCTCCACTTGACCTTGCCCTGCTGCGATGTTTCCTGAGTCTGCTTGCTCTTCAAGATGTTTTCTTCGTCGCCTAGCTTTCGACGAGGACCTTGCCAGCTGACAGTGCTCGCGCGGCGCAAAGTGACTGTGCTTGTCCTGCGGGGACCAGCGGCCTTGATCGGAGCAAGAGAGCCAATCTGTTGTTCAGCCTCGTCGGTGTCGGAAAAGTCGGAATCAGGGCCCTCGATGACGGTGGTGGTCTCGGAACTTTCAGGGCTGGCGAGTCCGCGGCTTTCGACGCCTGAGCCCTCGTCGTCCGAGTCATTCATAGTGGTACGGACGAGGTTGGCGACCTCGCCCTTCATGGCCATCAGCTGTTCGTATGTGCCCTTTTCGATCAACGTCTTGTCGCGAAGCAAGCCAATAAAGTCGGCCTCCTTCAGAACAGGGATAGCATTCGTGGCCAGGATCCTTGTCTTGCTGTTGAGGATACCGTTTCGTCCAAGCACCCGGTTGATGAGATGGCGTCCCACATGTTGGTCAACTGCAGAGAGAACATCGTCCAGGAGGTAGATATCAGCTCGAGCGTACACGGCTCTAGCAAGGGTCAATCTAGCCTTTTGTCCACCAGAAAGAGAGATACCCCTCTCTCCAACCTCGGTCTGGTCACCATCAGGCAGATTCTTGAAGTCGTCAATCAAGGCGCATGCCTCCACGGTCAGATCGTAGAACTGAGGATCCCAGCGGTGGCCAAAGACAATGTTTTCCCGAACACTAGCATTCATAACCCAGGCGGCTTGTGCGACATAAGCGATACGCCCACGAACAACGACTTCACCCTCGGTCTTCCACAGGTCGCCGAGAAGTGATTGAAGCAGGGACGATTTTCCGGAACCAACGCGACCGACAATACAGCTGAGCTCTCCCTTGCGGCAGCTCAAGTCGATGTTCTCCAGAGCGGTCTCATCCTTGTACCTGTTCCAGGAGAAGGACGCATCACGAATCCTGACAGATTCGTCACCAACGTGGGCCACAGGATCCTCGTACTTGACGGCATCTGTCTGAAGTTCTTCGGCGGTAAAGTAATCAGTCAAACGCTTGACGGCTACAGAGGCCTCAATCACGGAGGTGATTACCATGGGCAGGATTGACAATGGGAAAGTGAGGAGATTGAAGAGCGTCAGGGCTGGGAACACGATCGACGTGGTCAGAGGTCGGTCTTCGGTAAGAACAAAGACAGTGAACGTAGAGCAGGAGACCAGGAACGGGGTTGACTGCCAGGTGAAGTTGGCAATGGACTGGGTCGCTCCGATCTTGCGGAGGGTATTCAGCTCCAAGTCATTACGGATATGGCTCAGCTTGTTCATGAAAGCCGTGTTCCAGGCATAGAGCTTGATGCTCTTGATGTTGTTTAGGATCTCCGTCATGAGTCTGGATCTCGCGTCCTTGTTCTTCATCTGCACAAGCTGGAGCTTCTTCATCATTCGGGCGATAACACCATTGAGCGGAATCATCAGAATCATGACAGCGATTCCAGCAAACATGCTCACTCCGACCAATTGGTAGAGCGAGATCATGCAGAGAGTGATTTGGAAAGGCGCAGACCAGAGCTGCGTACCGAACTGAGTCAGATCGGACAGACGCTGCTGGTCCACGGCCATGTGGTTAACGATATCACCAGTGGTCTTTGAAGCGCGTCCTTCGCTCGAGAGTCTAAGGGACTTGGCATAGATCATGGCAGTAAGACCGGACTTGACACGCATGCCAACATCAAACGCGCGCTGGAAATACTGATGGAGGAATGATGTTTGAGACACCGAAACCACAAACATAGCAAGTGCGATAGCAACTCCTCTAATGACTGGCTGGGGATCATTTGTCCGGTACGAGTTGATGAACTCAATCAAGATCCGCAGGAGCTGCGGCTGAACGAACGCCAGCGCATCACTTCCGCATTTGATGATAGCTCCACGGACATATGGACCACTGTAAGACTTGAACAGCGCCATCCAAAGTGAAGGCTTCTCTTTCTGCATCTCGTACTCCCAGTTCTCCTCCAGTGTAGCACCGGTGGCCCGGGTTGTATCCCGGCGCCGAAGATTCCACAAATCATCCTGCGTCAAGAAGTTCTTGTACCCGAATTTCATCATAGGAGTCATCCAGCTGAAGGTAAGGACGGAGAAGATATCCGCATATTCGTACGGACATTCATCCTCGTCACCCAGCGCATCGTAGGCACTCTGCTTCTTCGGAACCAAGTACTCCAATGCAAATTCTAGAATCGACAGTCCCAGGCTAACATTGATGATAACGAAATACGGCAGGCGATCTTCGTAGGTCTTCCGCGATACATGCGACCGCAGCTTGACAGCATAGGCGATAATGAAGAACAGCCAGTAGAAGAGGACGACCCCGTTCGGATAGCGGCTGCGCCAATGTTCATAGTACTGTACGGCGAAGATGACACACAACGAGGCAAAGACGAGGATGGTGCTCCAGAACCGGAAGTCGGCAAACCACTTGGCGTAGATCTCAACTTGGAAAGCTGCTTGCAGAGCGGTGGTGAACAACAAGGCGGATAGAACAACCTACATAGAGACAAACGAATCAGCAAGCGGCATTCACAATTTCCAATCTGACTAACCAGCTTAGCGTAGAAATGCCAATTCTTCGAGACCGGCTGGGGAATGCGCTTCTTGAATAGAAACCAAAGCGCACCGCTCCCCAGCACCAGCCCGAACGCAGCGACCAACGAAACACCGATATCCAAGAAGCAAGGCGTCAGATCGAATCTCGTCTTGCTCAAAGGACCCCATCCTTCGACATCGCCACAGAACGGCTGCAGCTTTGCGGCTTGTTGAGATAGAAATGAGGCGGCGGGCGACAGGGATCCTGGGGCGATCTCCCCGAGGACGGTCTGCGAACTGTCGTCCAGCATTTTCCCCGGAATGTGCAACCCGACCTCGATTTCCTCCTCCAGAACACACAGAGAAGGGAGGCAGAGGGAACGGCCGATCGAAAGCGAGAGTCGCGACCACAGGAGTAATAAGAATAAAAGCAAAGTTGGAGAACCCCAGACCTGCGAAGGACGACCAGTTGCAGCGTGCTTACTAAAAGATTTGCGGAGCTTTGGTCGCTTACGATTGGTAATCGGAGTTGTCGGCGTTAAGTTCTTTTTGCAGTTACGCTGCAATCACCACATAATAAATAGAAATCACTCCATAGCTAGCTAGTTGTCTGGCTCTATCGAAACTGTACGCCCCTTCTAGCGCCCCAGGGAGACTATATCGGGGGGCACTGCCAGTCAACTTTCAAGCCGAAGCAATCCATCAGTTCCGAGTTCAGCCTCACCGCTGCGGAGAATCAGCGGCTTATCTATGACTCGACCGGACCATGCACGCAACAGTCCGAGCTAATCCGAAGTCTACGGTGGGCTGGCTATAGAATGCCAACTTGCTCTCTCAGCGATCCGACAAATCAGCTCTTCAGGCATGCTGCCATGTATACAAGCTCCTGAGTCACTTCAGAGTCACTGCAGCTTAAGATTCTGACTGAGCAATGATGTAATGGCCCACTTTTCTCCGTCCGCTCCGATGCTTCTACTCCGTACCTACTGGGCTGTATGCAGTGCTTACGCTATGCGGCTATCTCAGGGTGCTAGGCAAGGTCGTCTTGATGCAGAATAGATCCCCTGCAAAAACCAATTGCACAGCATCCTAATGATCATCTGACTGCAGTCAGCCAGCGAATCACTGACTCGGGGTACTATACCGGTGTGATAACGATGCGGACTGGTCCAGATACATATTTTGCCCGGGATAGACCCTGCAGCAATATCTAGTGCTACATAACCAGGGATATCTTCTCGCATGTATGGATCCCTGTCATCTCAGTGGCCGGAATGTGATGCTACACCACAGTAGATGGTTACTGAATCAGGAGAGGGCATCAATGTATGAATACTTAATCCACTGCCAATAAAACAACAGGGCTTATGTAGATGGTATCAATAACTAACTACAGGCGCTATCACCGCTAGCTGAAAAGGCTAATCATTTTGAGTCCCACATTATCTCATTCAGCCTCAGGAGTGCATCTGCACTGGCCTTCTTCGCAGCCATGAAGTCTTCCCGATTGTCCTCCCCCTTGGGTCCTCTGAGGATCTCCGAGAAGCACAAGTCAACAAGCACCTTGAGCTCTTCATAACTAAACGGTTCGCCAGACGCAGCAGGCGCCTTTTCGCCGCGAGAAGCGATATTCTCCTTTTCTTCTTTGGCGTAATCAAGTGCCTTGAACGCGCCTTCGAGTAACCAGTCGAGGAACTTGGCACTCCGGGGAAGGGTAACAATTTCACGGAATGGTTCACCTTCTTTCGGTGCATTGGCATGGTCTGGGGTTGAGGACTGAGACAAATCAATGATGATGTTTTTGAGATTCTGTTGCAAGACAAAAACATCGAGTTGTAGTCGCAACGCGCCATTCTCATTCATGGCCCAGATGTAGCGGGTGCTGGCAAGGAAGACCCTGTCGATGAACCGAGATAGCCCCGATGTGATGAAATAACGTTGGAATGCTCCCAAATACGTTGAGATGTTCGTGTCAAAGGAGATTAGGTCTTTGTTTAATTCAAGGATTGCTGGAGATGCTGCGGTTGGCTGCCTATCTAAGAGATGCCAGCAACCACCACTGGGCGGTGGTGAGGGAGTAGCGGGTTCTGAGTTGCGGGGCATGGGTGGGTTGGGACCAGCCATGGTTCTGGTCAACATATGGATGACTCCGCATCTGATATCAATGTGCAAAGCGTAGACGGCTGTGAGTGCGAGGTCACGTAATGACTGGAGTGTGGTGTCAAATGCGGTGGCTGTTTCCTGATTCAATGGAAGGTATATAGCTTGATTGATACTATCACGCTTCGGCTTCATGGCGCTGATTAGAGTCCAGCGGCGGTTTGTCGGCCCGGATCCGGGTTGAGATGATCGAGTGTCCGTCAATGGCTGTCGTAGTTTTGAAAGACTGCTGGCAAGCCATTGCTATATTGTGTCAGTTACATTCCGGGATGAAAAGCAAAAGGTAGACTGACCATGCTATTGTGAAGAAGAGACAGAGCCACCACGGACTTCGGATCCGATATGATATCGGCAGGCTCTAATGGCACTTTATCCGTCTGCTTTATCAAAATACCAGCTTCCTGTTCACGTTAGGGGTTTTCCATCCTATTGTTATAGCTGGAGACGTAATTACCTTGTCAAGAACCTCGTGCTTATGGAGATCTGATCTTCGCCACAGTTCGACGACCAGATCATGAACGGGTCCGGATTCAGCAAAGGCTGCGGCAGCTTTGAGTTGAACACCACCTCTTCCAGAGACCTTCGTGACGATGGCTTCGAAAGTTAGCAAAGGTAAAGTTCAAGGAGTATCAAAATATTCTTACTCTTGTACCACCCGCAACACTTGTCGTAGTATGTCACTATTTGACTAAGAAGAAGCTGGGTAAAAGCTTGATCATGAGGGATGCTGGACAGCATTTTACTGAACTCCTTCACAACCGACATAAACTTGACCGTTCCCTAGGTACCATTTAGTTAAAAGCGAGGAGCAGTGTGGACTGCTACGAACCTTGAAGACTGGTTTAGGTGAGACTGCCGACCACTGAGGGTCTTCCGTGAAAGCATCAGGCGTGATAAAGCTGAGAGTGCAAAGCTCGGTAATCGTCTCGTCAAGTTGTGGCAGGAAAACATTGACAAGGAAATCGTCGAGGAAAGACGTCAGGGAACCAGTAGCCATGTCGGAATCAACAGGCACGACATCCTTCAGTCGTTGGATAAATGAGAGCGAAGGCGGCAATAGCAGGCTCATGTTGAATACACTAGGTTCAATGAGAATCTTGTGCCCTGTACCTTGCCTGGAATCGGTGGGACCGTTTTCATCTGACTTCTGCTCTGACTTGGACACAAGACCGGGCACAGAGGACCTCAGAATCTCATCCAACTCGTCTTGCTCGGCCTTCATTTCTGTTGTGCGACTCGCCTCGGACAATTTGAACAATTTCTGAGGGCTGTCAGACTATCAAAACCCCAAGTATGTTATACAAACGCACCTTGTTCTTGTCTCTATAGCCCGAGTACATTTGACGTCGCGCATCTGTCCCTTCATCAGGTCCAATTGAAGAATCACCGTCGGTGGCCAGGTAGTCGTGCATTAACGATCGAATCTAGAAGGATGGGTGAGTTTTAAGCCTAGACATGATGAGTGGGCAACGTACCTCGCTTTGGTAAAGCTTCCAAAGCTCCTTGAAGCCACCAGCTAAAGAGTTGCTCTTGGGTATGCCCTCGCGCTGTACAATGGCTGCTATCACATCGTGAACTACACGATGCCCCTCCGCGATTGATTCAAATTTGGCATAAAGCGTCCACAAGAATTCTGAGAGCACATGACCGCGCTCCTCGATCAATTCTGTAGGTGACTCTGTCTTACCATCTTGCGCCATCGAACCCCTTTGGATTGGGTAACGTGCGTCGATCTCTGCGTTTGTCTTATCGACTACCGTGAACAGCTCCACCGGAAGTCGCTGTTCAATGCGATCGACCGCGATGTCCAGATGGCCCATCTTGTTTAGAGCCTCGATGAGAAGTTGAAGGTAAGAGAACGTGTCGGCCTCGGGATTCCGAGATGCATCCTCTACCATAGGCTTGGATGCGTCGAGCCTCGCTAGAAACCCGTAGACAGGCCGCTCCCAAGAGCCGGCGCCGGCGCCGGCCCCGTTCACGCCATTGCTTTCCGTCTCTGGAGCTGGTGGCTTCCATCGATCAACGCAGTAGGGAGACTTCAGGTATAGATGATCGTGCAATTCCTCAACCAAGATGTCTGTGATTGAAGACTCTTGATTCTCAAAATACGCCCTAATATCAGCAAGAGCACCAATGTTCTCGAGCTCCGAGCGCCGCAAAAGTCGAAGCGCATCATGGAGGACCTCCACGGCACCCAAGAATCGTTTGTCGGACAGCCTAGATTCCAACTTTTCAGGAAGGGATTGGATTTCCTGGATCTGACTAAACAGCTGAATGATGTCGTCGTATTTCTGAGAAGATGTCGCCAGGTCTTTCAGCTCGGGTTTCGTAGACAGCAGTCCGCCCTTTGCGTCTTCTAGCGCATGCTTCAAATTCCGTACTCGACCTTGGGAGCTTTGGATGTTTGCCTGGATTTTGTGATATGTACCGATAGAACTATTGAAGCCCTGATGATGCTCGTTGACAATCGCCTTCAGTGTCTGCTGAATCGTTTGATGTACGTTCAAAAAGTCCGGTTCGCGTTCGGCCTTCCCTAGTGTGCTCGTGTCCATCAGTTGCAGGGCAACCTGGACCGGTACGCAGTCGTCGTTCGCTACGTAGTCCCATTCGCGCTGTATGGAGTGTAGAACATCTGAATAATAAGACCCCGAAATTAGATCGGGTCGGAGCACATAATGCGAGAAGCGCAAGCACATACCTTCGACAGCTTGTGACCCTCCACTAGCTCCTCCCTGACTGCTGGAACCACCCGGTAATCGGTTGTTGTCCCCACGAGGCCTGTCATCTGTATGTTGAGCTCGGCGCTCTCTGTCCGTATCTGCGGCGCGTGTCCGTGATCGTGACGAAGAGTAGGAACGGTCGTCTCCATCGAACCTCTCGCGCCGCCGCTCCGGCGATGGCGCAGATGACAAAGATGGCTGCTGTGATGCTTCTGGGTAGAATCCTCCATAGCCTCCGGGGCGCCTATCCCTTCCGCCGCCGGTTTCGTATCCATTTACTCCCAGGTTGCCATTGTTGCCGTATCCGCCATCACCGCGGTCGTAGCGACTGGCGTCGGAGTAACCGTAACCGTTCGCGTAGCCACTTCTACCACTCATACCAAGTTCCTGTCGCTATCAATGCTTTATAAAGGCGATAGGTCTAGTCAACGCGGATTCGGTCGGTGCGGGGATGGGGAAGCTCGGCTTTCAGGAATCGATGTGGTCAGGACTCAGAAGGTAGGGGATGCGGGCATCGTTGCTTCGTGACGAAGTTGACCAGGAAGTCAGTGAAATATCTTTGAGTGGACTGGGGTATAAAATGACAGGACGGCGGTCCGCCAGCGGAGAAAAGACTGGCCAAGGTATGTAGATGTCAAAAGGGCTGCTGTTGCATCGGAAGGACAGCAATTTAGCTGGGCCCAGCTCCAAGTGGCCCACACGAGCAGCCACATCCCGCACCCGTGGACCGGAGATCTAGGTACAACAGAACAGGGGCATTCTTGAGATACTTACAGCTACTCTACTGGGTAACATCGTAGTTGAAATGACATTGTAAATGGCGGAGCGCAATAATTGTCAGAGCGGAGCTCTGACGACTGGCTCTCTATTCGGAGTATGGACATTTCTATCCTAGGGTCTATCTAGGTACATTCTATCGTAGTACCAACCTCTTATTTGGAGATTGGCTGAGTCTCCCGTTGAAGCCACTTACGAGTGAGTTCATCGTTCTCAAAGTACTTATGGGTCTTCTCCCACACCTCCGCATGGTAATCATTCAACCACTTCATCTCGGAGTCGCTCAGAAGCGATGGCTCAATCAGGTTCTGGCCGATGGGGCACATTGTGACATGCTCAAAGCCCAGCCATGGCCTTTCACCAAACTTGTGAGTAGTCTGGACCTCGCGCACCATAACAACGTCTATTCTATTGTTAGATGGTAATTCCAGGAAGCTCATGATAGCGGTGACTCACTCTCAATGCGGATTCCGAACTTGCCGTCCTCGTAAAAGCCGGGTTCTGCGGTAGTCAGCAAACCGAACGCATTATGTAGGTTCCATTCACTTACCGTCTGAAATAACGTTTCCAGGTGCTAGGGGCACCTCGGTGTATTGAACACGGGTACCGATGCCTACGGGGCCCTCGTGTACATTCTAAAAATCGTCAGCGGAGTGCGCACGATCGACGAAGTCCCCGAATTACCAAGTATGAGCCAATTCCGTGACCTGTTCCGTGCAGGAAGTCAAGGCCCTCCTTCCACAGGTGTTGCCGAGCGAGGACATCAAGTGCAAATCCGCTCGTGCCTTTCGGGAAGACAGCAGCGTCGAGCCCAATGCATCCCTTGAGAACTAATGTAAAAGCTTTCTTTTCAAGCTCGGTAGGCTGACCAAAGTGATAAGTTCTCGTGACATCTGTAGTGCCATCGAAATACTGGCCACCAGAATCGCACAGGTAGATAGCGTTGGGGTCGATGACGGAGCAGCTTCCCTTCTCGGGTTTGTAGTGGATGACAGCTCCGTTAGGGCCAGTTGAGGAGATAGTGTCGAAGGAGAGGCCTGCAAACAGCTCCTGCTTGGACCTGAGTTGCTCCAGCTTATCAGCTGCGTCGACTTCATCCAAAGTGGTCTTTTTGTTAACCAGTTCGTTTTCGAGCCAGGCAAAATACTCGATCAAGGCAGCACCGTCACGAATATGACAAGCCCTCATACCAGCTAATTCGACATCGTTCTTCACGGCCTTAGCGTCGCCAATAGGGCTGCGAATCTCATCAACATGGTCTTCGCCTCCTAGGCTCAGGTTGAGAGCCCAGGAAGCTCTGTTCGAAACAAGGAACTTGGAAGTTGGGGCTTCGGGATCCTGCTTCTTCGCTTCGAAAAGTGCTTTGGCGTCTGCAAAGATAGAATCATAAGGCTTTATGACCACATCATCTCCAAGGTGGGCTTTCACCTCAGATGTCAGCTTCTCATCGTCAATATAGAGCTCGACGGTGGTGGGGGTGACAATGCAATAGGAGATAAAGACCGGATTGTAGGGAATGCTAGATACCGCTTCTGTCAGAATTGGAGGTTGTTGACCAGAAAGAGGTATACTTACTCGCTTCCCCTCAAGTTCAGCAGCCAGGCAATTTCATCAAGCATGGCTAGGATAGCATTTAGTACAAGCGCACAAGTTTGGGGAACGGGCGCAACGTACAGATAACAAAACCGGCTGCCTTCTTGCTCTCAAGTTCCTTCCGCAGGTCGCTAACTTTCTCTTGAAAGCTCTTTCCTGCATACTTCTCAGGATGGACCTTGACCTTCTCCCGCGGCGGAGCAGGGCGCTCGCTGCCCCAGACCAAATCAACAAGGTTCTGAGAGACCCCGATTAATGAAGCACCACTTTTTTGTAGGGCATCAGAAAGGCTGCGGGCGGCCGCTGCAAGTGGCCCTAGTCAGAAAGCTGACTGAGACGTGAACGGGACCATATTCTCACCTCCTGTGATTAAAGCCGGATCAACTCCGACCACTTTACCACCCTCGGCTTGCTGAGTTATCCTGAAGGCGGAATAAGTTCCCAACACCAGTAATTGTAGAGAACGCGCAATGCATACCATTCTTGTGAGGTTGGGACACCCTCCACCCCGCGCTTCAATAGAGTCCAGTTGTTGTCAAGCTGTTTCGCCGCTTGGTTGAAGTACCGGCCATCGGTCGAAAGCGCCGCTTCCTTCAGTGAAATGATAGCGGTTCCAGCGGAGCCAGAAAACCCGGAAATAAACTCTGTATTCGGAGTAGAAGTAAGCTATATGGCCCCGAGATCGACAGGCTTTGTTCGTCCGCATTCGAAAGGAAGGGAAGGGCTACCTCGGCGACCGTCGCATGGCGCGATATATTCGGACTGGTGACTATCTTCTGAGGGAACGACTGCGACAGGAGTCAGAAGACGCTCGGTATGTAACTAGACAGAAGACTTTGAATGTCATACTGTATACATCAACTTTGTGCTCTTGCATCAACTGCCGCAAGCTAGACAGGCGTTTGGTAGTGTCCACGGCTTCCATATCGACGGCGTATCTCGGGACAGATAAAGAGAGATATCTTGGACGATAGCTAGATAGCTTCTGACTCGGCCGGAATGCTAGGATCCAAGAAAGCCGAGAGGGAGGACGGGAAAAGAGCATCGACTGACGCAATTAGAAGAGCAATGGCGCACGTGTCCAGGGAGAATACCTCGATTGCAAGACGAGTGTGTTCCAAAAGGATCGAGACGCACAGTGGCCGAGGGGAGAAGAAGAAGGAAAGGTGAGAAGGTGAGCTGTATAAAAGAGATGGTCTCCGAGTAGAATAACTACTGGAGCTTGAAGCGTGAAGCAACAGATAAGGCGGAATCGGAGGTGGATGTCAAGTGGAGCGGTAATTTAGATCTTATTACTGAAATATTACATAGTTTACCAATGAAAGAGCTGAATATGTCAGAACAAACCCTGGTGCCGATGTCCCCATCTGGCACTACGAGCTTTGATGCAGTTTAGCAACGGACAAAGTAAGATACTGAATTGAGCCACAGACCTCCAACTGGTTCCTGACACAGCGTGTTTGTATTCCCCCGCTTCGACACTGTTTCCCCTCCAACGATAGCGTTATCAACACGTGATCTTCTTTTTCTTATCAACATCTATACCGCGGCTCAGGCCGTCATTTCTCCAGGTTTTGTCCACTTCCTAGGTGCTCGGCCATGTCCATGGACCACTCAGATCAGGCCTGGGCCATTGATGGGGCAAGAAAGGTAGGCTCACGTTCTCTGTTATGGTTATGACCCCGAAGTAATGACGACTATCCAGCTTGTTCTAGAGCTCTATGACCCAACCAACACGGGCAACCCCGCCAAAATCAATGAGATTCAGGAGCTTCTCCAGAATCTTCAAAAAGGGCCACATGCTTGGGTCATAGCGAATTGTCTTCTTGCCGAACAGAGTCCAGATCTCAGGTTCTTCGGAGCGCTGACCTTCACCGTCAAAGTTAACCATGACTGGTATGCTCTCCTTGACATCGGCCGCATTGGACGTTGCTCACTCTTCTGCAGGCATAACCTAGCTGACAACGATGCTTACGAGCTTATTGGGCGGTTAATAGACCATTACGTATCCCTAGTTAGTGGAGGGGAGCGTATCGTCATACGAAAATTGGCTTCAACTCTTGCAACCATCTTTCTGAAGACAAATGCACCTTGGACACGCGCTATCTTGAGCCTAGGTGCTTCTCTGGCCAACGGCAAAAACGTCCCTGAGGAGCAATGTGCGTCAGTTAGTCTGCAAGGTATTCTTCCAGCATTGTCTGAGAATCAGGTGACCGCGCTACTCTACTTCTCAAAAATCCTAGCAGAGGAGATAGGCCGTTCGGGGGCTGAATCGCGGAAGCCTGAAGACACTCGTCGCATCTCCGAAAATCTTCAAGATGCGTTCTTGCTCGCGGAATTTGTTCTTTCCCAGATACTGACGCATAACGCTTCCGGTGGTTCTGTGGCTAACGAAATTCCGGGAACGGAGGCAATTAATTCTTACCATGTAAGTTCTCCAAAGTGATGTATACCCTCATCGCGTGCAACGTATCTAACATGGGTCGCTAGTCTTGGATTTCAGTTCGAAGCTCGCTTCAATTGCATGATACTATTTCCGTCCCACAGTTGGTGCCCGCCACAAATTGTGTGATTGGAAGCCTGAACATTTCCTCTCTATCGAAAACTGCCGCGCACATTCTGACGGAAGTCATGAGTCGCCGTGAGAGTGTGCTATCGCAAAATCATACTAATGCTATACTAGAATACGTTATTAGCGATGTTGGTACGGCGCATATTGCCTCTTTGATGGAGGGTGATTTTGAAGATGAGAACATGACATTCGTTGAACTACTCCTATCATTGGCGACGCGAAAACAGACTCAACTCTTTTCTCAAACACTGGATGATAAACACGAAAAAGTGCTTGCTTTGGTCCATACTCTGTTCAAATCACCTGGGTATGCGGCAGTGGATGACGCCGCGTCACCCCTGGCTCTCGAATGGTGGACTGAAGCTGCTGACGACCTCCAAGATAGCTTTCTAGACTCTGCAGAGCAGAAGGGCCCCGAAACTGCCAAGATAAATCTTGCCCGTGCCGCTCTGGACTGCTTCGAGAAGCTCAAGTACCCTACACCAGAAGAGTTGCGAGATTGGAGTGATGACGAGCGCGCTGAATTTGGGTCCTTCCGGCGAGATGTCTGTGACTTCCTGCTTGCGATATATCCCATATTAGGGGTAGATCTGGTGCAAGTATTTCAAGCGCACGCACGTGCCTCTCTCACAAACCAAGAATGGAGAACATTCGAGGCTGCTATCTTTTGTATTGCCCAGCTTTCCGAGGCAGTTGACGAGAACCAGCACGCTGATGATTGCCTGAATGCGATATTCTTTTGCGACGAGTTCGCCCGATTGTGCGAAGATAATGGGAGTACGATTCCAGGTAAAGCTCGCCAGACACTGGTAGATATGCTCGGAAAATATCGGTCATATTTTGAACGCACCCAGGTCTTGCTTCCTCGAGCACTCACATTTCTGTTCGCATCTCTGAACTTAGCGTCATGCGCCCCGGCAGCCTCAAAGTCCATAGCGCATCTCTGCAACTCGTGCCGCGATGCTCTCAAAGTTGAGCTGCCCGCATTTATCGGCCAATTCGAGCTATTTCGAACCAAGCCTACTGCCACCACCCAAACGATGGAGAGGGTGTTGGAGGGTATAGCTGCCATAATTCAAACTCTTCCTGCAGATGAAGAAAAGTCTCATTTCTTGGAAGGAATTCTGAAGTTTTTCTTGGAACAGGCAGAGATAGCTCGGACTGAGGGTGCACAAGGGTCTGTAGAGCCTGCCCGCATTCGCGGTCATATGGTCCTCCGATGTCTTGCGAGTATAGGAAGGGGCCTAAGGACAGATGAAGTGGTGGACCTCCATCAAGATAAAGACCAGGGGCCATATACGCCCACATTCTGGAACACAGGAAATGGCGCTGTATCACAAAATTTGATAATGCAATGTATGCGACTCCTAATGACGGACTTTCCGTTTGACGCCGCCATCATCGAGGCGGCCTGTGATGTTTTCAAGGCCGGTTATACGGAGAGCACAGGCCCGTTTGTTTTCCCGCCCTCGTTGACAGTTGACTTTGTCAAGAGCATCCCACTGGGCACTCCCGGTGCTGACATGGTGATGGGCACGGCTTCTGCCTTCCTAGCCTCCCACAGCGCACACCCACAGAAGGTAGGCGAGGAGGCTGTCGCACTGATCCTCCATGTGTACGACACTTTCTGCTGGGTGCAAGAGAAGCCGGAACTCTACGATCCGGAACTTGCCAACAGTGGTCTTGACTTTCTTACCCGCTTGCTCCCTAAATATTATCCTTTCCTCTTCGCACTTACATATACACCTCAGGGAGCCGGACAACGGCCGCCGGTCATCCAAGCAATCTCAAATTTCACCCTCATCTCGCTCCAAGGACCGGAACCTATCCCTCTCCGCTCTGCGTCCCAATTCTGGGTGAGCGTCCTGAATCTTCCCAATGATGCTCAGGCCGTACAGCAAACGATTCAGGAATACCTGCCAGCGCTTTGTCGTGTACTTATTACGCAATTGGCGGGTCGTTGTGCTCGATCGGATATCGAGCATCTCACAGATGTGCTCAGACGAATTGTCTTCAAGCAACAGGGACATGCACGTCCTCATCTCACCGCCGCTTTGGCGGACCTGGGGAATGAGCAGCTCGGCCAAGCCCACGGCCATATCCCTTCTCCAGAAGAGAGACAGCGCTTCCTCCTATCGGTATTCGCCGCACGAGGTTCCAAACAGCAGACTCTCCAATTAGTACGTTCTTTCTGGGTCAAATGCCGCGGCGCTGGCTTCGATTATACAGGGTAGATATCATAATTCGACGAAATTGACGACAAGCATGAAGAGCGTTCATTTGACCAAGGCTGCGTAGATCCGGATGTTGTTCTTCGGCAAGGAGTTTGCAAAGTGGACGATTCCAGCACTCCGCTTGTTTTGCCGAGTCTGACCCGGTTGTATCCGGCCTTGCAATCTGCACCAGCATCATTTCCTCGACTATCTCGTTTCCCCGAGTCCCGACTGAGATATTAATAGTTTAGGTGGGTCGATGTGCACGCACTAGCCACTGAGGCGGTGCTAAGCCAGGCATCAACAACAACTGTTGCCCAATAAACATGAAACCAGCAAGGCATTCTTAACATCTGTGATGCCCGACGAGTAGCAGCTGTGCTTGGTATGTGCGCTTCACGAATATGTGGCGGTGCGATTAACAATTTGCAGACAAGGCTGGCTGAGGACGTCCCACCGTATATATCCAGCCCTACCCATCTTTTTTTGCCCAGCACGCGCTATAACCAGCCCGATGCCGTATACAAATAACACTCCTGAATCAATTGTATCCCGCTCGGATTCGAAGAACCCAGCAACTACATGTCGAGGGATAACTGCTAGCGGCACCCCATGTCGGCGATCGCTGGCGTCCTCGCCAAATTCATCGCCTGCAAAAGCGGGTGGAAAGGCCAACGCCAGTCAGAAAACAGACATAACTTCATTCTATTGCTGGCAACATAAGGATCAAGCCGAGACAATCCTGCGCCGGACAACATGGAACTCAGACCCTGCCAAAAAGCAGCGACGGTCAAGCATCGACACATTAATGGACCGCCTGGGCGTTCTAGATATCAACGATGCTTCAGAAAGGCCAGAAAAGCCCAATAAGCCTCCGCGGAAAAAGAAACAGACTAGGCATACATTCTGCTGCTTCACCATAATAGAAGAAGAGGAACCGCCAGTGGCGCCCAAACCACGACCAGCGCGTCCTCCATCATCGGGAACATCCACCCGCCCCCCTCAACAAATGCAGCAAACCTCACCAGTCAGCCCCCCAAAGATCCAGTCCAGCTCAAAGCCAAACACGCTCCTCCCTTGGATCCCAGCCCACCTATCCCCCCAAACAGCCTCGCTCCTCCTCGCCGAGCTCGCAAAACCAATCTCCCCCGCCGATGAACCAGGCTACATCTACATGTTCTGGATCACGCCCTCAACATCAGCAAGATCCGACCCGCCCCCATCCGACATCGCCCCGTCTCTCCTCCCCTCCGCACACAGAGACATAACCCTCGACAGCGACGACAGCGACGAAAGCCCCGAGCAGATCCAGCGCAGCAACACCGCCATCCGCCGCGCAAGGGATCTAGACCCCACCAACTTCTCATCCACCCGCTCACCCAGCACAGGGACAGGGACAGAAACAGGAACAGGAACAGTGCGCCTCAAAATCGGCCGCACAAGCAACGTCACCCGCCGCCTAAACGAGTGGTCGAAGCAATGCTCCAACCACCTCACGCTGCTCCGGTACTACCCGTACACGTCCTCGTCTGCGTCCGCGTCCGGGCAAGGGGCAGGCGCAAACGGCGCAAGCGGTCTCCAGCCAGGCCGGAAAGTCCCGCACGTGCACCGCGTCGAGCGACTGATCCATCTGGAGCTGGGCGACATGCGGATCCGCGATCTGGGACCCTGTCCTGAGTGCGGGAAAGAGCATCGCGAGTGGTTTGAGGTTGCGGCTGAGCGGGCGGCGCTGAAGCGCGTGGATGAGTGTATCCGGAGGTGGGTGCGGTGGGCGCATACGCAGAAGTAGCTGTAGCTTATATAGATAGATACCTGGTGAATAGAGACGGTCAGTCAGTTACCTAGGTACCTTTAGATCGCTTGCAGGGACAGTGCTACAGAGGACCTTATAGTCCACGCGATACACCTATCAATGCCACTTGTCGACCATGATAATCCGCGGCTGGCTACCGTTAGTACGCGGCGGCCAATCTAACGAGGACGAAAAAGCCGATGGCTTATAATTGTTAGCATATACCGCTAGTCCATAAAAGCCAATTGGCTATAAGCACGTCTTTATACTCCAACAATAATGTCAGGGCTCTCGGGAGGCGTGGTACCATCCATGCATGTATGAAATATATTCAGTGCGCTCGCCCTACATTCTCGTCCCATCAAACGAAGATATCGCATTTAGCCGCAAAACCAAGTTAGACTAGAGAGTCGGTCCAATGAGAACTAAAAATTTCAGAAAAGGATAGATATAATATTTCTAATTCAATTGCAAGCTCCATCGACAACTCCCATGTACTTAGCTGTCTAACGGTAACGGTAAGGTAAGTAAGAGATAAGAAAAGTCCAGAATGGCCATGCTGGGTATCTAACAGACAAACAAGGCAAAATATAGCAAAGCAAGCAGCAACAGATGCACATAGGGACGTGAAATGAGATGAATATACGTATTTTGTCCCAACATTCCCAGCGCAGATCCCATTATCGTACAATCAGATAAGGGACTGGACTGGATCTAGAGAGCACCCTCCTGCAACGGACTCGGACCATCCGCGTGCAAGCTAGCAGGCGAGTCCGAGCCATCCCCGCTATCAGGAGAATCGTCAACAAGGTCATTCTTCCGGAGATGACTGAGCTTCTTGACAGGAGGAGAGGGAGACGGAGACGCAGCCGAGATCTTTCTCGTGCCGTTGCGCGTCTCGGGGCTTGAACGGCCGGAGCCCGCGTGTGAGTTTGACTCGGAGGTCACGAAGCCGCGCCATCTGCGCCAGCCTTCGAAGTCGATGAGGGCTTGCATGCAGCCCCATTCGGTGACTTTTTGTTGGAGCCATTCGAAGCGGACGGGCTGAGGTTGTTAATTTCTGAGTGTAAGAGAAAGAGGAGGAGTAAATACCTTCGTTAGAAAGTCATTGCAGCCCGCAGCTAAGGCCTCGTGACGGTCACTTTGTAAACTGCTAGCCGTCAAGGCTACGATGATGACTGGACTCTTGAACAGAGACAAGTCATGTAGACTGTCTTCTTCTGTGAGACGATCTTGGGCCGTTGCGGCCTCCGCCTCGGACAGGCCTGATGTCTTCTTAGGGAACACTCCAATACCGTTCAGCCGTTCAAGTCGGCGGATTTCCTTTGTAGCATCCAGCCCGTTCATGACGGGCAATTGGATGTCCATTAGGACGAGATGGAATCCTCCTTCGCGCCACTTGGTCACAGCCTCTTGTCCATTGGCTGCACACTTCCATCGCACACTGAGACGCTTCATGAACGCCTCGAGGAGCCTTTGGTTGATGACGTTGTCCTCAACAATGAGGACGTTAATCGGCGGCACCGTGCCCTCGATCAGGCCGCCGAATGCACCGTTTAGCAGCGATGCACGGTTGGACTTTTTCGGTTTTGCAGGGCCAGGGCGAGGCGATGCTACTCGCGCCGGTGGGGTATGGACTTTCCCCTTGGGTGACTCCGCAGGTGGCCCAGGAGGTGTGGGCACGACTGGCGGGGTGGGCTGTGTTGGAACCGCCGTTTGTGAACTCACGGATTCTGTCAAGTCAGCATAAAGTGAGAGCCAGTGTGTAGGAAACATACCCTTCGATTGAGCCATCCCTCGTAGTGTTGGTGAGTGTGTGGTATGTCGGGTCAGAGGAGGTCGTCGGTGTGACCGTCCCCCAGGTGATGGTACTGGGGGAGCGTGGCCGGTAGTAAGGATAGATATTGACGGCGCTCCGTGGGTGGCGGCAGAGTTCGCCGAGTTCGAATGATGCGTCGGAGGCGTGGAAAGATTTATATTGGTCGGCATAAGCGGAAAGTAATCGCCATGCTCTCCGGGCTCGCCTTGGGCAAAGTATACATTGCGACGAGGCGAAGGTTTAGGTGTGCGACGCTGAGGGATCTCAATGACAAGTGCTTCTGCTACTGTCTGGCCACCGGGGTAGTATGAATCAACCACTGTCCACAACGGCTCCTCCGGGCTGAGCATGCGGTCGGGGGTCGGCAGCCTGACCCCTTCACGCGTAGTGATGCGTATGATAATGTCAGGCGCATCAAAGGTCTTTCCTAGCGAGTTGGCGTACTTGACAACCACTTGATCTCGCAGCTCATCGACCAGAGCATCTTCCGACGTAGGAAGAAGCGTGGCCGATCCACCCGGGCGCCTAACCCAGATCTTGCGCAGTCCCATTCCCGATCCCATGGTCGGGCCTTCCCTATTTATATTATCGGGTTCCGTGAAAGAGCCGCTGTCCAGTATAGAGGTTACCAGGTGTTGGTGAGATGCAGGCAGCAGCGACTGGCGGCGGATAACGCTAGGGCGTGTAGGAAAGGTCGGAGCGAGCGGGAAGGACTGGTAGGTATTTACAGCGGATTTTTCCGCGACAGAATGCAGCGGTGTCGACGGCTGCTCTGTAGGACCAGAGACAGGACGCTCGCGGCGGCTGGGACTGGCGTTCAGCGGAGCGCTCGAAGGTTCGGTTCTCGTGGGAGATAGAGGAGCAGAAGCGTCGGACTTCCGGGACGGAGGGAGTGGGAAATTGAGCAGCTCAGAGGGAAAGCTTTTCCGACTCGACCCGGATCGGGCACGCTCACGGTCGTGATTCGATCGACGGGGTGTAGTCTGCTGCTCCTGTGATTCAGGTTGAGGTTCTGCCTCTGTTACCGTCTCAGTGGGCGAGCTTTGATCGACGGATTGCTCCTCTCGCTGAACAGGAGACGTGGGCCGTTTGTATTCCGGGACGAAGAAGTATTGACCGCCTGGGGTGCCGGCACTGGCTAGCTCGTCCGGGGTATACTGAGACTCGGTGCAGGAGGAGATAGAGGGACGACTCGCAGACGAGAGAGGCGGCGGGTTCGAGGCGACGTTGGGAGTGGAGATAGGCGGCGTGGTGGTTGTGGTGGACGTGGTGGCAGAGTTTGGCTCCGCGGGCTCCTCCGCCTTCTTCCCTTGGTTGGCACCCTCGACGGGCTGCAGCTGGTGAGAGCGATGGGAATGATGGGAGCGCTGCGGTTGCAGGTCGTGGGTGGAGGCAGAGAGGTTGGAAGCGGTTACCAAAAAAGTCTTGCTATGTCTGCTGGACGATGATGATCGTCGCAATAGTGTTGCGGCTTTCGCCTTGATCCTAGTGGACCAGCGCCTCTCCGACATGATGGCTCTGACAGGTAAACAATCCGAAACACGAAGACAATCAAATGAATGGAAGGGTTAGAATGATCACATCCTTAGCTCAGACTCAGAGGGCCATAAGACGCGATCAGTCATGCTGAAGGAGCGAATGAAAGATAGAAAGAGAGCGACAATACAGAAGAAAGTCAGAGCATGTTAAGACTGGGAACCCGGCGATAGAAGCTTGGAGAGGGCGCTAGACTCGAGTGAAAATTGCGGTGCAACCAAGTAATCATCAAGCATCAACAGCAGCCCAGGACGATGCGAAGCTGTCAGGCGGCTGAAGCCCCATCTGTCAGTGTCTGTCAGTGTCAATCAGTTCACGTCCACCAACTCCTGCATAAATAGTCTGTCTGACGCTCTCCAAACTCGATCTCAGACCTATTAATACTCTCTCCTCCCCCTTCCCCTGATCCCAGCCATAATGCTCTCTCTCTAACCTGACTGAGCGACCTCGGCGCCCCTCTCCGACTCATTTACCCGCCTGTGATCTTCGCCTTGCCAGTAATCTCCGGCACCTGGCCCGGGCACCACGGGACGGGATAACGGCCGCAAAGACTTCAGATCCAAGATGCTGCATGGATGAGTTGGCAACAGCGCTATCGAATCAACCCTGGCTTGATGCATGACCGACAGCTTCCTCCTGCTACCAATATCTCGTGGCCAAGGCCATCCTCGCCCTATCTATAAGAGGGAATATACCTCGTGCTTGGAACTGTCGGAATCTGACGAAAACGCTAAACTATGGCATACTTGTTACTGGCATCAAATGCCCGGTTTTTGAGTAGAGCTTGCCGGAATACAAATTCTCATCATGCCTTAGGGCTTGCAGTTACAAGGTAGGCCCACTTCAGCACATACGCGCATACACAGCAAACAAATTCCAAGAATGAACGTCGTCGAATTCAGTCTCATACGTATCAGAAAAAGAAAAGTACAATGAAGCATCCTATCAGACCCGGTGTGCGAAAGTCATCATCCAGAGATCTCAACAGGCTAAGTGTGGGTAGTGAAGAGAAAGAAAAAAAAGAACCAATCCCATATCCAAAACAAAATCTTACAGTTCACCCAATGTCAAAAAAAGAATAGACCATCAAGACGTAACATGACTTTAGTTTGCAATCCGAATTCGCGCCGAGTGATACAACTCGAAGGGTATCAAACACATTTTCTCGCCAACCGGCGAGGACCCATGACAGACCAGAAAAGAAAATGACAGAAAGAAGAAAGGAGCGCGGGTGGGCTCTCATCATAGCAGAATGAGGTAGTTTGATGGAGCAATACCCGTCTCCCCGTTTGCTTTTCTGGCCTGCCACCATCGGCCGCTGACGTCAGATACCTCCAGCTCTTCGCCCTTGTCGAAGCCAATTTCATTCGCGTCTTCCGGGTTTGCGTCGTATTTGTAGATAGCTTTCGCCTTGTATGGGTATTCTGTCGGTGGGGGAATCTCTCCCACGGTGTCTGGGTTACTGGCGTTCGGCCCGCCCATACTGGTGAACCGGGCTTGCGATGGGCTTCGGGTCTCGCCGGGAGCACCACCGTGGTACCCTGACACTGGTGACGAGGTCTCGAAACCGTTGAGCTGCGCGGAGGTGTACATCTGAGGACGGCTCGTTGTAGTCTCGGGGCGTGCGCCGTAGGCAGATGACATTGGCCGGTTGACGCCGTACGCGCCTTGGTTCTCCTTGTTGAGTGCGAATGAGTCAATGAAGCCGCGGTGCTTTGCTTGAGGGGTCGATCCGAAGTAGAAAATCCAAACGATCTGCAAAAGTCAGAACTTGTTCGGGTCAACGTGCATATAGCGCTTACATTGACCATGCAGAGAAGAATAAAGCCCGCGCCTGCGGCCTGGAGACTAGATTTGCTATCGCCATTGAACATCGAGTTTGCTGAGATCGAGTTCATCACAAGAGCGGCAGCAAGGTACCCCACAACCTGGGCTCAGTTAGTAGGAAACATGCCGACCAGGGAACAATCAACGTACCGCCACGCCGTAAGTGAGACCGCTATCCGTAAGGAATACCAGGATTACCCCAACGTTGCAGCAAAACGCATAGACAACAGCCCACCATTGGAAGCTCGGGTAAGTGCCTTGTATATCTGCTGCAATAGATGCAATGAACGCAATCACCCATCCAAGCTGGCACCTTGTTAGTGGAGTCGACGCACAGCTGTACCCAGAACATACCATTGCGATAGAGCTCGTCGCAAGAGCGAACGGGTCGCCCAGCAGATTGCTTGTCCGGAGTCCTGCCATATTCACTCAACCGGGAAATATAGCGTTTATTCTTGTCGATAAATCGGCTGCACAGAGGGTCGTAGTTCAGGAACGGGCGAAATGAGCAAGGTCAAGTATATATATGCCGGACGACGTCAGATTCAATGCGCGTATTTCGTACGGAACGGCTACACGATTCCAGAGACGTCGCGATTCGATGACACGAGGGCGCTCGGTGACCGATCACTTCCAGCCCACTTTTCTTCTCAGTTTATGGAGTATAAAGCAGGCGCGAGAGAACGCAAGTCGAGTACTGTTTCCAGCAGTTAGCCCCACTGAGCAATCGCATACACAACAAAGATGAATCGAAACGTGGTGGATCGGAAGCGATTGGGACGAAGACGCGAACAAAGAACGACCGGACCCGACCAAGACCGACAATAGGCGCAAACGGCAAATAAAGCGATGAAATCGTACCTTGTGGCAGTCTAACTTGAATAGTATGTACGCAGTCGAAGATATCAGAGTCGAAATCAAAGTCGAAAATGTCCAAAGTTGATGAAGAAATCCAAGATAATAAAAAGCGTAGTTGATTTGAAAGCGGATCGACCTCGTTCGACGGTTCGAGACAAATCGAACGAGTACGAGATCGTCAGAAGGCTGGAGGGAGTGCTGGAGGCTGTTTTAGACCCCTTGCAGACAGTGGTGAACAAAGAAGAGCAGCGCCAGGCCGTAGAAATAATACGAAGACGGGTGGAACGGAGCGTCGAGTAAGAATGTATGTAAGATAGAGAGCGAAAGAGAGGGAGTTAACGAGCGAACGTCGACGGAGAAGAGTATCCGACCGATGGAGAGGGAAGAGAGAAAGAGAAAGGAGAGTGAGAGTGAGAGTGCTGAGGTGAGGAGAACGAGGGACGAAGAAAACGAGGCCGTCGTTGTACACGGAAAAGGAGACTGCGTGCCAGAGCCAGTAGTGAGCGAATGAGCGAGCGGTCTTACAGCAAGCAGGAAGAGGGAAAGAAACAGTGATAATTCAGCGAAGCGAAATCATCATTATTTAGGACAACAAAACTACCAGCAAATGCGACCTAATTTGCCCTGCAAATGTTTCATTTCCCATTCCGATGGGCGATGGCCCAGTTCCTGGCCGTGGCCGTGGCCGTGCCTCTCCTCGTTCCTGGTGGTGGTCTGTGTGTGGGCCTTCATTTAGTCTCCGCCCGACTCTACACGCAATCACGCTCGGGGCCCAGGCCATCCCCCGTCAAGGCTCAAGCCAATGCCAGCGTGAGGCTGACGTGTGGCTTACGCCCGGCAAGAAGACGGCAACGATCCTCGGCCTGGCCATCAGATTCAAAGGGCTGAATCTGATGAAGGACCGGTGCATACGGTACATCCAACTTGTCGCAGTAGTCACAGCCAGCTGCAGCAGGTTACGCTATCTACGCGTTGAAACTTGATCGCCGTCCGACATCATCCTGCGTGACTGCAAGCGTATGAGTAAGGGTCAAGCAAACCTGCAGCAATCACTCAAGAGGCCAATCCAGCGTCTCCTGCGCTTCATGATACACGTTCTGACGTTCAGGCACACAAGGCGGCGCTTATGGCTTCGTCAGCCACTCCAGCCAGACCACGTTGTTCTAGCGTCTCGTCGGCGTTGATTCTGGACGAGTCGTTTAGTAGATCATGTTCGAGCTTTATTGCTCCGTGGTGCAAACTGCCGGCGAACAGTTGTTTCGGCCTTGGGTCGCTATATTTAGCCGGCTTTCTTTGATTGAACGGATGGTGGTCCCTAGTCCTCGAACGCTGGGGGTTCTCTGCAAGGTTCGCCACGCATGGTTGGGAGCTTTTGTTTCATTCATTCAGATACAATAGCTTATTTTCATGGTTGGTGGTCTACTAGATGCATGGTCCTTGAGAACAAGGTACCACGACGTCCATCACAAATCTCCAATGTCTTAATATGGACTAGTCCCTGACGAGTGTAGTATGTCAAGCTGATATGCTGTCAATTAGGATGCATTTAGTCCTAGAGTATTTGTACAGAGTATAGAAAGATAGATAAGGTACAGCGTAATAGTACATTCATCACATACAGCACTCGGTATGCCACGTCAGACCTCCACCCGGGTAGGGATCTTGACTTGACCCTTCTTCCGGTCATCGCTGGGCACACCGTACCTCCGGCCAGGAGCCTTAGCACCACGGCCGTCAACACCGGTAGTCTCCCTGCTGACAACGACATCCTTGAAGCGGAACTCGAAGCGAGACTCCTCTGGCGTGACGTGCTGTATCCGGCTCTCGCGACGCTCCTCAGCGCGACGCTTACGCTCCCCTTCGGCGGCCTCTTCCTCCTCAAGGCGCGCCATATGGCCTTTAATGACAGCGTTCATCTCATTCGGCCTGGCGATGCGATCGCGCTCGAGATCGATGAGGGCGGGGTGAGGGATGCGAACGTCGGCGGGCTGAAGGACGGCCTGCTCGTTGTCGCCCTTGCCGACAGTTTCAATTTGAGAAGGGTTCCGGGTGATGCGGGTCATGGCCTTGGAGGGATCTGCGAGTTCCTGCGCAACTATGTCGTGGTTACGAGCTGGGGCTGCGGAGAAAACGCGACCAGCATCAACACGGGTGAAGTGCCGAGATTCAGAGACAGGGTAGAATATTTGAGCATCGGTGAGGCGGTGGGCGGGAAGGTCGTTGATAGATTCGTGAGGCATCTCACGCTGCGCACGTGGGTCGTCATACAGCGGAGTCGTCGGAACCATCTCATGGATTGAGCGAGCATACGGCAGGGCCAGTGGTTTCCCCTGTTCAAAACATGGTTAGAACACGTCGAACAAGCATATCAAGGGCAATCAGGCATGAGTGTGCATATGCAATCAGAATATAGGCGTTGTACACATCCCCAGGTATACTGAGATCGTAAAGACTAATCGATAATTTTTTGTTGTCTCATCATTGCAGGGTTGGAAAAGAGAAAAGAGCAAAAGAATACAGGGCCACCATACCTCTTCGCGTGTTCGCCTCTCCAGCGCGACTAATCGACAGACAGCAGCGACTCTCCGCATATCAACACCCATATCGTGACTGACAAGCCGAACGCTCTTCTTCTTCACCACAACCCTCTCGTAGATCTCGTTTCGCAGCTCCTCGCTCAGAACGGGCTCACTGACAAAAGCGGGGTTCAAGGGAAAAGGTCGATTTGTCGAACGAGCCCCCGGATCCTTCTTGCGCGCCTTCACATCAGTAATGTAGTTGGTTTGCCCCGGAACGTGCTCTTTATAGGCAGCCCCTTCGCCGTTAAGCCATGTGAACATTTCCGTCCGCAGTAAGGTCTGTGTCGTCTGTGTAGAAGAGAAAGGGCGAGATGATGTTAGAGAGGGGCATGATGGTGATGTGAGGGAAAATCTGGTAGAGGATGCAGAAGAAGAGAGGTAGGGGAGGAGGGAGCTAGAGACACGCTGCGTTTGTATCCGAGGAGGCATTGTGAGAAAATATAAAGTCGACTAGCGACAATTCTAGAGAAAAGTAGTAAAAAAGCACGTATTATGGAGGGCCAATGCCCCTGGGTATATGGGAACGCTGAATGGGTGAGGTGTTGAGTTGAAGATGTTTTGCTTGCCGGGCCGAGAAGAAACTTTTCCGTGTCTGATGTTGCACGTGACCAGCTGGATCTACTACTACTCCGTACTAGCATCATAGTCGATGGTAGACAGCGTCAAATATTGTATCTTCACTCATACTAACAGTACTCCTGCACATCTCAACTTATCCATCCAAGCACAGCAACCAATCCAAGAATCAAATATCAAAGCCTCCATCCCAAATGCCAACAAACATGAGTGCAAAAGAACCATCTCCAATTTCCCTCCCTCAGAAGCCCAATCTCAGTGTATACCTCGTGAACTCCGTTCCTCAATGACAAACCCTCCCAGTGTAAACATAAACATTGTAGTGTATCGATCCGCATGAGTAGAAATACTGAAACCATGCCATGCCAGCGACTCCCGTTCCTCATGTCTTCATCTCCGATGCTTTGATCGTTGGGGAATCAAGAGAAAACAAGCAATAAACAGGAAATTCAGAGTCGAGACGAAGTAGAGCATGCAATGAGCTGTTGGACAACAGGCCTCAAAGAGGAACATGGCATAAGAACACCGCTAGTGTAAGATGGGACGCCAGTCGATCAACGATGCAAAGGAATCAATATCATTAAACAAGGCATAATAGTGAAAGTCTTATGAGAAACCCCCATTAAAAGAATCTTAGGGATGTGGAAACAAGGCATCAAGCAAAGGGTATGGCACAGTGCTAAACAACAAAACAGCATAAAGGACCCACATGTAATCGTTTGCGGCCTCGGAGGTATCAAGTGACATCAAAACACAGCAAAGACTACCTAGGAAGATGCAACAATCCCAAACACAAGAAAGCTGAAACCGGCGCCCACAATCCTATGCTATCAGAGTGTAATGGTAATAAAATGGTGTGAGAAGAGAAGTGAAGAGAGGAAATTGGAAAGACGACGGCACATTTCCAAGGCCCAGGTAACCATAAGAAGCGAGTGAAGAAGTCCAGAGTTCCGAGATCCTTACTCCGGAGAGGCAAGGATCCTCCAATGCTGTCTAGCCGGTAAAAACAAACAAAGTTCCTAATGCGCCGGATATACCAGTATTCATTAACCATGTCGGACGTGGTTCCCGTAGAGAAGGTCGTAGCGTTCTACCGCCCCATCATGTAGTCCGGAGGAGGATAGTTCGGGGTAGCATTGCCAGAGCGCTGCCCTATGTTGGCGCCATTGGCTCCAGCATTGTGTAAAGGTTGTGGTGGCATCATTGACGGGTTTAGAGCGTTTGGTCGAATACCAAGGCCAGCATTGGGGTTGAATGAGCCGTTCACTCCGTTCATAGGCATATGCGTGTGGGAATAACCGGCGGGGTGCATAACACCGTTGTTCCTAAGCCCCATTGGAGGCATCAAGCCAGGTGGTGTCGCCAAACCCGGCGGCGGTCCGCTCACCGTGGAGAACATGTGATTCGGCATCCCCCCAAGACCAGCACCGCCCTGGATAACACCTTGCTGGGGATGGGGATTCGACGAGCTGATGGATCCTTGCTGTCCAGAACGCACTCCAAGCGGGTTCTTGGAGAAACTCAAGCGAATGCCGGTCTTGATACTGTTGGAGAGTTTGTAGCCGTATAGCTCATTGAGAGTCTTGCCTGCTGTGCGCACGTCCTCAAACTCCACAAAGCACATGGGCCCGTTTTGCTTATTGCGGAAACAGAGGCGCTTATAGCCGCGTTGTTTCGAGAACAGCGCCTTTAGCTCTTCCTCCTGGGTATCCGGTGGAAGATTACCCACATACAAAGTATTGCAAGGGGGATTCATGTCGTTCGGATTGGCAGCTGGAAAACTGTGCCGGGCTGTATGCTGGGAGCTGTAAGGATACGGAGGGTTGCCCACGGCACCATTCATGGGCTGGGGGTATGCCGATGACGGCGTTGGGAGTGTCACGTGCGCCGAACCTCCGGGAGTGTAGTTTTGGATCGGCGGTGATGTTAAATTAGTTGCCAGCGAGAGGTTAGCAAAATGGCTGGTGGGAATCTGTGGGTTGGTAGACCGGCGTGGTGCGGAGACTGAGGCAGAATGACCATTCTCGGCGTAGCCGACGGGGTCCTTGAGCAACTCTCCGGTATCCTCGTCGATATCCTGGTCTATCATCGACTTGCCAGTGACGCGTTGAAATTCAGAAACGCCATTTCCGAGCGGCGACTGGGGAGAGAAGAAACCATGGAGGCGCACATTTGGCTCGGACGAAGGCGGGAGAGATTCGTTGGCGGATGAGCCGGCTGGGTGCGCAGAAGACATTTTCTCCATAGTTTGAAAAGTACCATTGAATCGCGATTGTCGCGTACCCGTCCCGTTGCTCATCAGGGTACGGCCTGCAGCGGAATGGTCAATGGTATTGCGACGAGGAAGAAAAGGAGGAGCCGGGCTATTGTTGTAGATTTCGACTACCATAGTAGCGTCGTTCTTCGAGTTCGGCTTCCCGTCGAGCAATTTCCGTGCCTCCTCTGCCGCAGCCATGCTGCTGAAGTGCGCGATCGCGCTGAGGAACCCGGTATCTTCCGGGAGGTCTGATTGTACGAAATCCACCTCTAACAGTTCATTTGAGAAGAGCAGCATGCTGCGCAACGTCTCGCGACTCGTATTCTTGGGAAGCTTCCGCATCAGAATCGCGCCGCCGCCGCCGATCGTGTCGGCGGGCCGGATAAAGCCGTTGAGGTTCTGCGCTGGTCGATCCGAGTCAAGGCGCATGGTGGCGGGCGAGATGCCATCGAACGAGGAATTTGGGGGCATGTTGTCAAATGATGACGACGGGCTAAGTGGCGAGAAGGAGTAGGAGGAGAAATCCGGGCCTATAGACGTCGGTCCCTGCGACGCGGATGCGTGGTGATACACGTCGGTCGACATCGCATTCTGAGCCGTCGAAGGCAAAGAGGAAAACGACTGCTGGGTAGGTGACGCGCCCGATGAAGTGGAGGGTGTGCGCTGGGCGGTAGTATGAGACCGTGGACTTGTACGGGTGGACGACTGGATGGGGATGCCAGTCATGCCTCGAGATGAGTCTCAGGAGTCGAGCCGCTCGAGATAAGGTTTCGCGCGGGCGATTTGGCCGTGGCCGGTAGGGGGATGGGGAGCTGCGCGGATGTCGACAAGTTGAGGGAGGATAAAAAACACGCCAGCGATAGCGATAAACCAAGATTGGAGCGTGGTCGAAAATAAGAAAGAATAATAATTACTCGAACTCGTGGAGTCGTGGGATGTCTCACAATAAGGATTTCCAGGGGTTGCTGATGCGATAGTAGGAATCCGGCCGGGGCCCAGACAATGAAATCAAGCAGAAAACTAATGCGACGGACCGAGGGATGCGAGTAAGACAGTAGTCAGATGAAGCGCCAGTCCGAGTAAGAGACGATGGTAAAAAGCCTGAAATTCCAAAGGGGATGTAGATGAATAAAATTAAAAATGACGACCGGGGAAGAACAAGAGAGAGAGAGAGAAGGGAGCAGGGGGGTGGAGGGAGCAGAGAGGGAGAACGGACATGGACGAGGGAAGGTGAGGTGGATGCCGGGCCAGAGTTAGCGCAGTCCTCAATTGACAGGGAAGACAAGAGGGATTCCGGGAACGAGCGTGTTCGGGGATCGAGTGAAAAGGACGGCACTTGGGGGGTGAGGGTGGGCTGTAAAGGAGGGGGAGCTTTATGTAGGATCCATAGATTGCAGCATTGAAAGCAGAATGGCTCAAGTGCAGCAAGTCCGGAACGGTCCTTTTGGAGGACTTTTGGCCTTTGGGAGAGCGCCCATTGTGCTTATCCATGGATCGCGCGGTGACCAAAGTTACCGTACACAGCCTGAGCTTGGCAGATGAGCTTCTGGAGCGCGTCCCACGAGACGCGACTTCTCGAAGCTGGCCATCGTGAGAGGCTACTCGGTGCCCATGCTTTTTGAAAATGCCTCTCTGGTCCTTATTCCATAGCAGGCGCATCTATGCGCCTTTAGCAGGGCCACTCATGAACAACCTCCCTACCGGCTGCAGCGAAAGCCGCGTCCGGATGCAAACGTGGTGCGTGCGCATAGCTGTGGGGAGTGGTCTTATCTCGCTGTAATTACAGATCTTCTTGGAATCTCAACACCATCTTGATTCTTGAGCCCTCCATCAAGATCGCACCAGGATGGCCAGCAGGCGGTGCAGGTCCATCAGACCACATCTCACTTCGCCTCCCCAGCGCTAGATCACCCGTCGCCCCTTCCGCGGTCAGAAACAGAATACGAGCGTGACTGAAGAATCGTAGCCCGATCTGATCTTCTTCTCCGAGTCCAACATCCTTGTCTTCAAAAAACGCATGCACTCGCTGAAAACCAAAACACGTCACTACTTCAGCCTCGAAGATCCACCTGATGGGAGAGGGGTGCCCTTGTACCACAATAACAACTCGCCATTCCATGGATGGCCGAGCGTTTCGAGAACTTCCCGTCCCATCGGGACTGAATCACGTTTCTGACCTCGAAGCTTCTTAGTATGTCGGCAATAATGTCGACGTGTTCGCTGGTAGTCAGATTATTGCCATGTGATCGGACCTGGGAAGCTGGGAACCACCAGCAGACCTTGGAAGGGACAAGCACCAGAAGGAAGCCGTTGATGATGTGCCCACTGCAGCGGCTGGAATCTAGCCCCAGGCGCGGGATGATAAGCAGACAAAAGGACGTGCATCTACTATGCCGCGACAAAGCCAGGATGGTCTTTTCAAGTTCCGGCCGGGCCAACCAGACGGTGCCTGGATAGGCAGCTTCGATGACCGATGCATCGACGATTAGGCAGCCTGAGCGACCCATGTCTGACCCTCCCACAGACGTTGTACAGGTCCGATTCCATGGGATAATGGTTGAGGTGCCGATCGGCCAGCTGAAATTCTTTTTGACCACCAATGATCTTGTGCAGCGGGCGGTTTCGACAGTCTCGAGATCCCGGGGCATTAGGCGCGCAACGGGATTGGTTCATCTATTGGTACTGCCGGCGGACAAGAGGAGGGGAGAAAATACGCCATCGCTCATTCGAGTCCAAGGCCATCGGTCCAGGTACGGATCATCATAGTCACGTTCCAGCGGGGTATATTCCGGCTGATATACTTCGGAGCACTGCCTAGACGTGCGGCTGACTCGCATGATGGCAGCCTTGAAGATCGGATCTGGGGCCTAGGCGTCCGGGAACGCCGTCACATTGTCGGTCATTCGGGCTCGTATTCCAGATCTATGCGAAGTTAACCCTCGAAAATTCCCTCGCGCGGCTCCAATTACGGCACTGAAACTTCGAGTAGGAGGTTGGCTTAATAAGAACGTTCAAAGTCAGCTTATCATGATATCCCTAATATACAGACAACAATGTACAGTTTTGGACCCATATGCCAATGGTCCAATCTCATAACGCCAAACAATGCCGGGAGCACAAGAGTTGAAGTTGGAGCCTTCCCTAGTTCTGCAACCTTTCAAGTCCGATGAAAGACTGACAGGATTATCGTACTGACGGGGCAACTCAACACCCAAATGAAAAAGATTCAATACCGGACTCGAAATATTACTGCATTTTCGAAGGCTCTGGCTTCGGTTTGATGAGGCCAGCCTGCAAGCGCGTTAGCATCACCTCCGTATAAACTTCCCTGGGACCATGAATACAACGCATCGAAACATACCAGGTTCATTAACCGCCAAACCGTATCACTCGGCTGCGCCCCAACACCAAGCCAGTACTTCGCCCTAGACTTATCTAGCGAGATCTCCTTGTATGGTCTTGCGCTGCGTGCCTCCTCGTCGGACAGGTTCGTAGGTCGTTGCGGGATAGGGTTCAGCGTTCCGATGACTTCGAGGGGCTTCGAGTTGCGAGCCGATCTATTGAGTGGAGACATTCCAATTAGCTTATGCTTCAGAATAACGAAAGCTCGCGCCAGATGATATGGCCAGGAGCAGATCCGTGGCTGTTCCAATCGACAGGACAAGACTGGTACGTACCGCGCTTGGGCGACGACAATGTTGTAGAAAGGCTTGTGCTTGTTACCGAAGCGGGCGAGGCGAATGCGGACGACCATGTTGGCGATTTATCGACCGGGCAATTGAGTGACGACGTCGGTGTGAATTGCCTTCGCTGAGATAGCTGGCTTGCGGCGTTTGCCAAAATCTCCGGGCTCAAAATGAGACGGGAATACGTTGATCCGGAAAGACCCAGAAAGGACTAGCTGGTACTGTGGATGATGTAAGCAGTGTCTACTTCGGAGAGGCCAGAAGTACAGATTTTTTGATCGATCTCTCATGTCAGGGTCATTATTTGATGTCTCTTGCGCGGATAATCGGACACTTTGGTTGAGATAATCCCGAAAATGACCATATCCAGGAGTAGTAGGTGATTGGCTTTCCAACTAGGTACAGATCCCCAACCGTCCGCTTCCCGCACCAGCAAAACGATTGCTGGGCAGTGCTAGGACTGCTGTGATGACGCTCAGTAGCTATATGCTAGGACTCTGATAATTTACTTAGGTACACTTCAAAGCAAATGTCTGATTGCTGGGGTGGGCTCTACCTAATTTGGCCTCACTCTGTATTCCAAGGTTACTAGGCCCTAACCCTAAGCCGATGACATACCTATTTTCCGCTGCCATTAGCCTTCAGGATTCAACCTGTACGTGATACTTTAGTAAATAGATGTTGCTGCGTTGTGGGCACTGAGTAGTGTGCTGGTGATGTGTGTCTATTGTCAGGAGCTGAAAAACAAGGGTTTTATATTTGCCCAGGTACACAAGCTTTGTGAACATCCACAACATATATCTAGTGAAGGTACTTTGAGAGACACTTCTTCGGGATCCAGACCAAGTGCTAGCCAAGGGAGTCAACCTGAATTACCGAATATCGATCTCATGTGTACAAGCTACACAGGATCGCAGCTTTCTTCTCCTTTCGCCAGTTTATTATTGCTATCTGGGCCCATCGCCTCCACTCTCCCAACAACCCAGCCCTAACTATCACCATCCCAACTATCCCCTCGCAGCAACCACAACCAGTTCCCACACCAAATCTACAAAGCAAAACACCTCTCCACACTATCCGCATTATTCCCCCACCAATGCACCATCTTCGCCCCCGTGCTCCCCAAAAAGATGAAAATAAACAGCAAGTTCGCATTGAACCCCGTATCCAGCGCCGCACCGCTAATATACGCCCACTTGTTCCAGAAAACGCGACGATACCGCCAAAGATAGAAGTTCGTGAACGTGCCCACAAGGAACGTCGTAAAGGGACCCGTGCTCAAGTTCCCGTAGAACACTGCCGCAGACGCAAAGAAGATGGTTGTGTTCCAGAGGTCGAAGCGTGCGCGGGGGAATCTCTTATGTAGAAGCCACATGAGGATTGGAGCGAGGGCGCCCGCTAGAAACCCCCAGAGGATGGGTCGGAAGAAGGAACTCGCGAAGAGCTTCTTGGGCCCGACGAGCGCGAACTGGATGCCTGCGGTGTTGTAGGACTTGAAGTCCTGCCCGGTCCATTGGCCGAGAGGGTCGTCCTTCTGCCCGCTCACGTACTCGAATTTCGTGGCGAGGACCCACCGCATCACGCCGTAGTTTACTGGGAGGGCGAGCATGTTCGCGATGATTTGGATGCCGATTACCTGGCGCGGTGGGAGGTGGAGGTAGTGGCCGATCTGGATCATGCGTTAGTTGGGCTGGGATTTGGGTGGAGGGAGGGTAATGACGGACCTTCTGGTCTTCGAGCACGACGCGCGCGTCGTACCAGACGTTGCCGGAGATGATGCGGTATGCGAGTTGGCCGAGTGGGTGGCGGGAGGAGCCTTTTGCTTCGATCATGTCTGCGTACTGGTTAGGTATTTGTCGGAGCTTAGGGCTGGGTATTCTTACATCCGTATACGAGCTCATTGAAATAGCCGACTTTGATTGAGAAGCCGGACATGGCGTACACGAAGCTCATGGGCAGCATTGCGGCTCCGCCGAAGCCCAGTGCGACGAAGTACGTCCAGATGGGCATGTAGATCTTCTTTGAGACGACGACGCCTAGGAGGGTGACTATTGGTACGAGGCCGAGTGCAGCCCATTCCCTGTTTAGGGTGTTGTTAGTCGGTATCCGGGCACAGATGATGGAGAACTCACCATTTACTGATACCGGGGTACTTTTGGATGATCCGGCTGATATGAACCATGGTCAGTAGTTACACAGTTGCATGGGATTGATGGCAAATACCTCAGTCTGTCCTGATGATACGCGCCTGATTGCTTCCTTGCTTTCCAGATATGGTACATCTTTGGACCTAGGAATAGAGCGCACCAGACGTACGAGGACAGGTATGAAGCCACCCACTGCACACGTTAGTAGAGTTATTAGAGGATAAGAGATTGACTTACCATGAAGATCTGCCAGGTATACTGGGCACCCGAATAGGCAAGGCCCACCTCTTCGTATTTAGTTTCGTTGACATGCTGCATGCCGTTTGAATCGATATAAACTGAGTCAATTCGTCAGCTCTATTCTCAATTCTGAGAGACAAAGTAAACTCACTTAAATCCTCAAACGGATACGCCGAGCCGTTCTTCTGGAAAACGCCATTTGACATGATGTCGTACGTGGGTGATCCCCAGAGCTTCCCAAAGTACGCTATGGGAATTAAGATCCAGCACTAGGCAAGTTAGAGTGCCCGCAGCTCTAGCGAGATCAAAAGACTCACCGTCAAGACGAACGCTAGGAAGATAATAACTTGCACGCTGTACGGGTACGTGATGACCACCGAAGTGATGTTCGACCAGTTCAGGGTTATGTTCAGCAGTCCCATGCCCCCGCGACCAGCTCCAATGAAGTTGACTGTATGGTTACGACTGGCAAACCAGCACAGTGGGGCGAGAGAAGCAACGAAGGGAAAGAGGTATTCTGGTAGGAACTGCCAGACGAATGTGGCGAGGAGGAGGATCCAGAACACCTGCAACCGGATCCTGGTTAACGGATACCGGACCTAGAGGTGATGCCAGACGTACCTTCATTTGGTCGTGTGCCCTCTTCTTGTCCGTTCGGTTCCTGGTATCCATGCTTCGGTACAGAGTTACCTGCTGCAGGGACAGAGGGAAGATGAACTCGGGGTCGTCGATCAGGATCGGGCGGACTGGACAGAAAGATTAGCTTGTAATTCTCAGAGTCTAGTCAGTACGCACCCATTGCAGCGAATGCAAACCCAAGTAAAGAGGAACCCTGGTCTTATAAGCATATATTTAGCATGAAGAGGTATAAACTTACCCATCCAAAGAACAAGGCGAGAGCCGTGTTCATGGTCGTATTGTAGTATAGAGCAGCGTTCGTGGGCAGGTACGCTTATGACAGTCTGTTAGGCTTGTTCAGTCTCGAGTGATGGCACTTACTAGCCCATTGCCCTTGACTGCCAGCATTGGCGGCAATGCCCACAATCGCATGCTCCTTGGGTGACCACGGCCCGGGGTTCAGCGAGAACGAAAACCGCCCCAAGGGCACTTTGTACGCCGGCAAGACACGCGCAAGAAAACGGCCAAGCGGATCGGATGCCAGAATGACGAAGAAGACGGGAAACGGCGCAGTCGTTGTTCGGAAGCTGGTGCAGTCAGCTACCTAATACCAGGTACTCCATCCCCACTTGGCCCGTCAGGGAGACATACTAGGACAGCTGAGAAACTACACTCCCGAGCGTGCAGAAGATTGCCGAAAGAAGGATTGACCGGAAGGTCAGGACTGGCAGCGAGGGGTCGTCTTCGAAGCTGACGACTGTGCGCACCAGCTCGGGAATGTTCCTGAACTCGGCGGAGTCAAAGTCATATTGCGACTCGTCGGATGAATCGCCTTCTCTTTTTGAATTGTCGTCGAGAGGACGGACATTGACTGAGCCTAGGTCTTTGATCTCTGGGGGCTGAGCCTTCTCGGTGGGAATCTCCTCTGCTTCGAGTGGTTGTGCTGGTTTCGTCAGACTGGGAGGGGAGGCAGCTCCAGGAAAACATACAGATGTCGTTCTGCTGAGGCTTTCTACCCGGGATAGCGAATCGAGCCATCATGAGAATGCCAGACTTCAATTGACTGAGTACCAATGGATCAAGATATTCCGCCCGTACTTATAGTATCGGACTGTAGCTGAGGATTTCCCAGTCAAGATGAAGAATTGTGCCATGTGCCTACAGTCTAAGTACCAGCACAGCATCTGATAAGAACCCCTCACACGGGCCTTAGCAGCGTCTTGTCACTGGACTGATAGTACCTCCAAGCCAGTCGTGATGATAGCAGAACATGTCGTTATCTCCCGGATCCCGAGATGGCCTTGCAACGACCAGGATGAGTTGAATTGGCGTAGATCTAGGCATTAGGTCCAAGCCATTAATCTAACTTTGGAGACCTTAGATGCGTGGCAAGTCAGTAGTTTATCCTTGTTCTCAAATGTCCTTATCGTGGCTGGTGGGAAATGGCGTGAAGATGGGGGGTAAGGTGCAATGTAGTTAGGGCTCGACTGACAATGTTCAAGGCTCATGGTCGCTGATGCCTTGGACCGTCTCTCGCAGCCGCTGACAATGACATTGTTAATATAGCAATGGCAGGGGTCTTTTGGGTGGCTTGTTCTGTCAGAGTGTACCCGGATGTGAGTGTATTGTCCAAATCATCCCGCAAGCAGCGTCTCTCAGGTTATCAGCCAAGGCCTCTGGTCGCAGAGTCCGGCCTGGTCTCTATCCTGGATTGCGTGCTATTGGAGCACTTGTATGCAGGAGGCCATTTTGATCGTTTTTTCATTGTTGACCTTTATCTTGACTTGAGAGTTGTAGATACGTTCTGCTAAAGAACGTCCCCGTCGGTATGGTAGGTCACAAGATGCTCGCTAGATGATAACCAACGTCGAGCCAGAGGTAAAACGGACGGCCATTTCCTGAAGGAGGATGCTGGCAGCGCTTTCCAATCACGTTTAATGGCGCCATGTCTGCGAAAATGAGCTGCTCGTGGTGTGTTCCACAGAAGGACGCCCTAGCAGGAGTGACTTGACCTCGATGCTCCAGTATTGTGCAAGCAATGGAATGGAAAACATTGTACAGATTGCTCTGTTATTTCCTTACTAATAATGCGATCTCCGGAGTTGTATAAGAAATGGAGCTGTTATCTTGACCAAGGCGTGCTATCTTTGTTCTTCTTCTCCAACTTTCCCCTCTCCAACCTCTCCTCCACCTGTATTCTTATTCTTCCACATATTTACCAATTGGTCTATTCTTAACACTTGACTGAGCTATAAGCTCAAGTAAACATGGCACCTTCTGGAATGTCGCTCCTGGCGAACATCGCCGGTGCTTCAGCCTTTGTGCTGCCCCTCTTCGGCCAGACTCCATTGCCAATTGGAGCTCTCAGTTCAGGCTTCACCTGTGAACTTCCTCCTACTCTTGATCCTGCCAGCGATGGCCTGCCTTCAGCAACGAGCCTATTTTCATCGGACGAGGCATTGGAGAGACAGGTGAAGCGTCACCAGGCTATTGTTCGGGTTCCCTCGGTCTCGTACGATGACCTGGGCGAGATCGGTGAAGACGAGAGATGGGAGCCCTTCTACAAGCTGTTTCCCACAATCGAGAAGACATACCCTACGCTGTAAGTTGCTGTTTGTCCCAGGGATTCTTTACCGGATTAACCAAACCAGCCATAACCGAGCAAAGCTAGAGAAGATCAATACCTTCGGGCTGCTCTACACCCTCGAGGGCTCCGATCCCTCTCTAAAGCCGACGCTCCTTACAGCACACCAGGACGTCGTCCCCGTCGCCGATGCATCCACCTGGACGTATCCCCCGTTCGAAGCACACTTTGACGGCGAGTACATCTGGGGCCGCGGTGCATCCGACGACAAGAACAGTCTGACGGGCATCCTGTCTGCCGTGGAGGGTCTTCTTTCCGAGTCGGATTGGACGCCCAGACGGACTCTGCTTCTCGCATTCGGATTCGACGAGGAAGTCGGTGCCGACAGGGGTGCTAAGCGGATTAGCGACGTGCTCCAGGCAAGATACGGGGACGACAGTGTTGCTGTTATCCTCGACGAGGGTGGGTTCGGATCTGAGCCTCTCGATGATAAAACTATTTACGTTCATCCCGCCATTACCGAGAAGGGCCATATCAACCTCCACTTTGAGCTTCATGCCAAGGGAGGACACAGCTCCGTTCCGCTGCCGCACACGGGCATCGGCATCATCTCTGAGATTGTTATCGCTCTTGAGTCAAATCCGTATGAACCTGTGATCCTCGAGAACAGCCCCATTCACAAGCGTCTAGTCTGTCAAGCGCGGTACTCACCCGGCACACAGCCAAAGATCGAAACGCTCCTGAAAGAGCATGACTTCGAAGGTCTCGCAACGGAGTTTGCCAACACGACCCCATTCAACCGATTCGTCGTTCAGACCTCGCAAGCCGTTGACCTGATCGGAGGCGGCGTCAAGATCAACGCCATGCCTGAAGTCGTCACGCTGTCCGTTAACTACCGCGTTGCACACCACCAAAGGCCCGTAGACGTCCAATACAAGGCCATCCAGGTGATCGCCGACGTTGTCAAGAAGTACAGCCTTCGAGTCGACGCATTCAGCGGCGACAAGGAGTACCAAAACTACGTTGCAGAGCTCCATTCCGACGAATCGCTCTACCGCAGCGACCTCAAGCGCCGCGATGTGGTTGACTACAACGGAACCCTCGTCGTCAGCGCCTTCGGCAAGGGCGAAGCTGCTCCCATCTCGCCTACTGACAATGCAGTGTGGGAGATCTTCTCCGGAACAATCCGGCACGCTTTTGGCTCGGATGGCAAGACTGTTGTCCCCGTTGGAGACATCATGACCGGTAACACGGACACCACGCATTATCTGAGTAAGTTGCATCGTATCTGGTAGAGCAAGCACAAGCACTAACAAATCGGACAGGCCTTTCTCGCGATGTATATAGGTGGACGCCGGCTATTGGCCGGGGAGGAGACAACATCCATACTGTCGATGAGCGTGTGAGTATCTATGACCATTTGAACGCGGTTAGGTTCTACTATGACTTTATCCGCAATTTTGATGCGGCGGATATATGAAAGTTGGGTATACTAGCCTTGAGGTCGAGGAAATTGATTGAAAAGGGTTCTGCCTCATTGGTTTTGGATACAGCTCAATTGAATAAAGATACTCGATATCCGAGGGAAAAACATGTATGCCAGGGTTGTGGTATATCTATCCATGTACTCCGACAGAATGTAGAGCGGCAACGTCTCCATGACGTATGAGGGGAGCTCTCCATCCACTCCACCTTGACCTTATCACCAACGTTATACAAACCTCAACTTAACCCCATCTCAAACTAAATAACCATCTCAATCAAACTCCCCCTATCAAACCATCTAACACCAAGAGAACAAACAGCATTGCATGCTCCGCCCCGCCCTATCGCTCTTCTCCCGCCGCTTCCCCTCCCCCGCACCACTGGCCCTCCGAGTCCGATCCTACCACCGCTCCGCAAAGATGGCGCTCAAGGTAAGCCCAACCCCGTAACCATACATGCGCGAAAGCTAAACAGTCAATTGTCCAGGCACTCAACTCGAAAGACGCTGCCTCGCTGGACGAGGACCTCATGAGCGTCGGCGGCTTCTCGCTCGACCAGTTGATGGAGTTGGCGGGGCTTTCGGTCTCGCAGGCTGGTGAGCTATCCATACCCTCTTGCCCTAACCAGAGTTTAATAAGAGGCGAGGCTAACACGGCGTAAGTCTACCGCGTGCACCCCCCAAGCGCAGGGACGAACGTGCTCGTCATCTGCGGACCCGGGAACAACGGTACATAGCATAACCCCCTGCCATCCCTCTTGAAACCAAGTACTAAGCTTAACCAGGAGGCGACGGCCTCGTCGCAGCCCGACACCTCGCCCACTACGGCTACAAGCCGACAATCTACTACCCCAAAGAAGGCAAAAAGGAGCTCTACACGCGGCTAAAGACGCAGCTCTCGGCGCTCTCAATCCCCATCATCTCCTCAAGCGCCGACTTCCAGTCCGCGCTAAAGACCACGTCGCTCATCGTCGACGCAATCTTCGGCTTCTCGTTCGGCGGACCGCTGCGCGACCCGTTTCCTGAAATCATCGCGGCAATGGAGAGCTCGTCGATTCCGGTTTTGGCTGTCGATGCGCCGAGCTCGTGGGATGTTGAGAGTGGGCCGCCGGAGGAGGGGCCGGGGAGTAAATTTATGCCGGAGTATCTGGTTAGTTTGACGGCGCCGAAGCCGTGCGTGAAGTTTTACAGGGGGAGGCACTTTGTTGGTGGAAGGTTTTTGACTAGGGAGGTTGCGGATAAGTATGGGCTTACTGTGCCGGAGTATCCTGGCGTTGATCAGGTTATGGAGGTTGGGGTTGATGCAGAGGGGAGGCTTTAGGTTGGACGTGCGAGGATTTCGAGGATAGCATTTTGGTCATGTTAGGGTTAGGGAGTGTGTCAAGCGTTTATTGCCTTGACGCCTCGTGTTCGAAAGGTACTCAGTCAGAGTTCAAGTTCTACACCCATAATTGGCCCCGAGTGCTACGGACGGAACAGAAATAGTGTGGCTGATGTGCACTGTCAGGACAATCAATGGACGCAGTCCAGCGTCATCGCTACCGTCAATGTTTGCTAATTACTAAATCTATCAAAGGTTCATGGCGGCGTATCAACTAGACCCCGTAAGGAGATCTATGAAGTAAAGAACACCCATCTACAGCAGAGATTCTTTGATCTCCGCGACTATGCCCTTGATTCTTGGCTCCTTTCCGACGTTCGAGCTTGAAATGGTCTGCAGAATTGCTCCAAGATCGTATACCTCCTTCGCAGCCTCTTTCACTTCAGTCGCCAGCTCCTTGACTAAAGTACCCAGGGCGACAAGGCTGCGATAGACGGCTTCAGAGTCCTTTTCACTGGAAAGCATTCGCGTAAGCTCCTCCAGCAGTACCAGGCCCCGTTGGCTAGACTCGACGCTTGTGTTCATCGCTTCGGACGTCGAATATACCGCAATATTGATGTATAAAGTCGCAACTGCAATAGTAAGATTGCGGTTGGGGGATGATCCGCTGTTTGCTAGACATGTCTTGACAGCAGCGACAACCTGATCGAAGCGGTCGATAACGAGGCCACGGCCAGCATCGGTTTCGAATAAATTGGCGAGCATTCGGACGGAAAGCATCGCATTGTTGACATTTACCGGGGCGTCGAATATCCCACTCTCGATAATCGCAGTGACCAAGTCTTTACCATTGTAATCTGCCGTGGCCGTCACAGGGGTGGCGGCAGCAAATAACCGGAGAAGGTCAAGCCCGGGCAGCCTATTCGCTGCTGGCCAAGCGGTCGCAACCTTGAAGAGTAGATTCACGCCTGCCTCCACGGCGGACGAGTCTTTCAGACTGTTAGAAGCTTCCAGCTCATTGCACAGAGAGACCACCATTTCCAACTCAGAAGGACTGAGCGACAATTCCTTTGAGCCATCTGAAATAAGCTTATCATTGAGTTCGCCTAGCTTCTTCGAAATCACTTTGAGGTTCGCAGTCTTGATGGATAGATATGTCTTTTGCGGAAGTACTTTAGGCCGTGATTCTGGAATGGTTGCTGACTGGGCAGAAGCATCTCCAGGTCGATAGCGTTTATCTTGCCCCCATGGATCAGAGCCGCCTGCTGCAGGTTCCTGGCTGGTCTGACCAATGGTTGCGCCTTGGGTATTTTGGACGATGAACTGAGCGACTTGGTCAAGATAACTCATCGGCAGTTCGTTGTCACCGATAAATTTGGTCGCAGCTTCGTATGGATTCTGCGACAGATTATAGGGTAGTTTGAGAGGAGGTTTGCCATCCTCGACGTCAACGTCGAAAACGAAATCGTAATCCTGGCCCAAGTACTCGGTCTTCCTCCCGCTGCTACCGGCCGAGTCCACCACAGTCCCTACCGATTCCCATCTTCCAAGAGCAGCAGACCATGTATGAGCGGTAACGCTGCCGTTGGCTTCACAGATCATCTGCACTTGACCGTCCTTGGTGCCAGACTTTTGTTGCAAGAATTCTGGACCAGGGAGCTTCTCCTTGTTTATCTTTCCGACTTGTTGCTCCGGTATTGCTGACTCTTTGACGGCCGTCTCGAATTGTTGCACTACCTCCGCGCTCGCATGTCTCTCTGGAGACCTGGTGAAAACCCGTGTTACTCGATCACTTGCTCCGGTCACGATATCGCCATTTTCGGCACAAACCGCGACACCCCAAACTGAAATTGCAGGGTGGGTGATGGTCTGTACACACTGCGTGCCATTCCATACCCGGACTGTCCGATCCTCACCAGAGCTGACAAGCTCACCGGATGGTAGAACCGCCAGCGAATAGATAAAACTCTCATGACCATGAAGCTCTGCAACAAGATCTCCTTGCAGTGTGAACAGCCTAATTACCCCGTCATTGCTTGCAGAGGCAAATTGGGCACCTGTGGGGTGCGAGGGTGGCAGTTTGCAGAGAGCCCGAACGACGTCCCGAGAATCCTTGATGCTCTTCAACAGCTTTCCGGATGAGCTGAATACTCTAATGATATTGTCCGCGCAACCTGGTTTTTGGTTAGTGCCCAATCCGGTGCCTAGTGATACGCCGGCTTACCTGTGATTATTGTGTTCTTATCATAGGCCAGCACTGCCCAAACGCTGCCCTGATGATCCTCTAGCACAACTTCCGATTCCCATTTCCCAACTCCCCAAACACGAGCCGTAGAATCCCAGCTTCCACTGACGACCCAACCACCTTCTGGGCACACATCGAGTGCACAGACCGTATGAGCATGGCCCAGCAGCATAGCATCCGCATTGTCATTCGACGTCTTGCCGGGTTGTCTTGCTTCTATGATCGTGTCTTGGCCTCCAGAAAATACCAATCCTTCAGGAAAGTCTGGGGTCGGGGGGTAGTATGCTAGGGCGTTGATGAATGCGGAACCGTGGGAGACGATAGTATAGTCGTATGTCGGAGGCGGGCTCGAGACAAGCTTCCAAAGCCGAACGGTCGCATCTCGAGAAGCAGAGAAGACAGCTTTAGAGGTAGGAAAGGCCACGGCACGGACCTAGAGGGAAATAACAGAAGGTCAGTAACGTAGGGCGTTGAAATCGAGGATGTCGTTGCGGTGTCAACACAGGGCGGGGAGCTGTCTTACATCATCGCCGTGACCTTCCAGAGCAGCGGAGATCTTGAACTCAGGCATACATACAAAGAGAGATGAGTTGGAATTGGGGGTTCGTAATTGAGATGAAGTTGTGGCAAGAGAGTGAGTGTGTCAAGAAGGGGAGAGGTCTAAAGGGAGAAGGTGTAGGTGATGAGTCCAATAGTACCCCGGCTGGACTACGGGGACCTGGCTCGTGGCAGCCCCGGCGATCTCCAAGGAAAGAGGGGCGTCATGTGGGCGGTAAGCCGCTGAGGCCCAGAAGCTGCTAGAAGTACAAGATGAGTAATCAATCAGTAGCATGCAGTTTCTCTGTAAAGCGCATAATAGGAGTCGCGATAAGAGGCTACAAGCACGTCTCAAGCTATTAGTTCTGGTTGCCGTCTATGCGAAGCTCTGACATGGCTGTTACGCAGTCATCTCGCTGTCGAAGTATATGCTCACGTGCCGGTAGGCTAGCTCCATGTGGACTAGCGCAGTGTCTCCGCCAGCAACGCCGACTCGAACGGCACAAGCTTCAAAAGTTGCTTTTATGATTCTATCTGGGTCGGAGTCTCCGTTCCCTCAAATCAGTCTATAGAAAAGGTGTCGCTGCGGGTGGCCGGTACAATTCGTCATTGCCTTTTTATCATTCCAGCTTTCATCGCCCTAATCTTCGCTCGACCTGCTCTCTACCTCATCTCCGCGACTCGTCCGTCACTCTCTCCTCCGCCGCCGTCATTCTATATACAGAACCCCGCCCTACAGCGCTGATGACTTGACGAGACCGACGAATTTCCTTCTGTATTTCTAGCAATCATCTCTCGCGTCATTCGAAATACTCTGTGCAAATACGTTTTCTTCGTCGACAGGCTTCGGCTGATCTCTGGGTTGGACATCTTATCTTCGCATTTCTAACGGCCATTCTGGAATTGTTATCCCGGTTCTTGCTCAAACTTTGGTTTCATTATGGCTTCAGGTGTGCCGGAAGTTGACTCCGTCGGCAATTTTCGAATTGCTGACATGCGACTACAGATATTCCCAAAGTTGTGCCTTTAACTTGTCATGGACACTCTCGTCCTGTGCCCCATATCAGTTTTTCGTCCACGGTTGAGGACGATCAGTACTACCTTGTTTCTGCTTGCAAAGGTAGGTTGGACCTTCGGGGCACTATTTGGAAGCAATTGACTCATGTTCACTAGATAACAACCCTATGCTTCGGGATGGAATTACCGGTGATTGGTATGCCTTGTCGCCAAAACCCGACTTTTTCCACCTCGGTAATAATAATTGACTCCTCACTCAGGATCGGCACGTTTCTCGGACACAAAGGAGCGGTATGGCAAGCTCGCCTGTCAACTGATGCCAACATAGCCGCAACTGCTGCTGCGGACTTTTCTGCGTGAGTCTACCCCATACGGCAGTGATCGATGTTGACAATGGACTAATATTTCCTCCTGCGAGCAGTAAGGTTTGGGATACCCACACAGGCGAATGCCTCCATACCCTCCAGCATGCGCACATCGTCCGAGCGGTCGCATTTCCCCTCCAACCCTCCCCGCAAGTCCTCGCAACCGGCGGCTACGAGAAGAAACTCCGAATTTTCGATTTGACCCGCAGCGGCGGCAGCAACAGCTCCTCCCCAACAGCCCCCTCAGCGCCCACAGCAGAAGATGGCTCGTCCTTAGCAACAAGCTACGAAATCGGCCCCGGCGCCCACGGCGGCACCATCAAATCCATCATCTGGAACCGCGACTACAATATCCTCACAACGGCCGCGGACGACCGCAAGATCCGCTGGTGGGATCTCCGCTCCCGCCACCCAGTCGTTGAGTTCTCAGTCGAAGGAAACATCGGCAGCTGCGAACTCAACACCCTCGCAACCCGCCCCAATGACACCGGTATCCTGTCTGTCGCTGCCGGAAAGAGCGTCTACCTATTTGACGGCCATGCCCCAGGGAGACTCCTCAAGAAGCTCGACTTACAGTATGAGGTTGCCAGCGCAGCGGTGAATAATGACACTGCCCGGTTGGTGACTGGTAGTGCGAACGATACATGGGCGCGTGTGTACGACCTGCATACGGATGAGGAGCTAGGTACGTCAATCCTGATAAGGTCTATGGAAAACCGCTAACATACAGCAGAAGTCCAGAAGGGCCACCACGGCCCAATTTGGTCAGTGAGCTTCTCGCCCGACGGTAAACTATACGGCACGGGTAGTGAAGACGGTACAATTAAGCTCTGGAAGGCATGCAGAGAGCCATATGGCCTGTGGCGCTGATGCGAATCGAGCATCGCCAATAGACAAAGTGTATAGTCATCTAATAAGAATAATACCAGTCGCCATTGGTTTCCTTGTGTCGTATGCATGCGATTGTGGTTCGGTTGTCTGTTGTCATTGCGTAGACCTAGAGAATGAGTATCACAGGTCCGTTGAAGCTGAAAAGAGATGAGATGGTATTGAACCTCTAAGCTGAATCCGCGGGGTTGAAAAGGTGCGACTTTTGAGTATCAAAAAACGTCGCCTAGATAGCTACTCACAACAAACAGCAAGATCGAAATCACGATCAATGATGGGCGCGATACAAAAACCCTCTATTCAATCATATCGATATCATCATCACCGGCCGGTGCCGCGGCGGCAGGCACAGCAGCAATAGTCGCAGGCGCAGGTTCCGCAGCCGTCTGTTCCGGCGCAGCGGCTTGTTCGGTCGTACCGGCATTACTACCCCAGTAATCTTCCATCTCCTGGTCGAGCTGCTCCTGTGTCTTTTTGGGTCGCGGGTTGCCACCACGACGGCCTTCTCCCCTGTTCTCACCACCCTGTCGTCGTCCTCCGCCGCCTCCACGGCGCCCGGAGGGTTGTTGGCCTGGGATGTAGCGGTCGATGTGGTCGGGGGCGGGCTTAGAGACGTCGCTGCGGCGGTAGCTTCCGCCACCAGGTCCGCGACGACCGCGACGACGGCGTCCGGCACCCTCGGCGCTTTCGCTTCGGCTTTCGGGGCTTAAACTGCGGGCATCGCGGGGTCTTTCGACGCGATCAAAGAGGCTGCCCCTTGGTTTCGCAACGCTTTCAAAAGGATTTCGGTCTCGTCGCGGGCCGGAGGAAGTAATTGAGATACGAATGGGTTGTCCCTTGGCGTTAGCGCCGTCGAATTCTTCTATCGCGGTTCTCGCATCGCTGTGGCGGTTGTATGTAACGTAGGCGACACCTTCGGAGCGTCCAGCCCGGTCGTAGACAAGGGACACGTTCGAGATGGATCCGATTCGGCAGAATAACTCCTATCAGAGGCGGCTTGTTAGAACACAATATACCAAGAGTCAACGGAGTAGCGTACCTCAAGGTCGGTCTCTGTGATATCGTAGTGGAGATTCTCAATGCGAAGTCTGGTTCCCGCAGACGCGCCACTGGTATTCGTTTAGTTCCGTTCGCAGTTCGTATACATCTGAATGATCCATACCGGTCCGGCGACGGGGTGTATCGGTCTACGCGGGCCCGTCGTCCACCACGGGAAGGGCGTGCTGAAAATACGTGTAAGGACCAAAGCCACGAAAAGATCCCACTTGCGTCGTTGAGGTAGGTTTAAAACGTACTGTCTCGGTCGTCTTCATATTTGTCGTGAACCCAATCACTGTATTCCACGGATGTGTTAGTAAAACACAACCAGAATCGCATAGCCCGTTTCTTCCAGGGCGGGGATGGGTAGGGCGCCGCCTCACAGGTCCAAGTCAACACGTTCATCTCGATAAGGCTGTTGCAATCAGATCAAAACAAACAAGGTCAGCCCTAAATCTATCAGGTGTTATGAAACGGCTGTGTCGTGGCGATTTCCGTAGCCTTCAGATCTATCCGAAGCATAACACACGGGAGCACTGAGTTTTGCTTATGACAATGTTGAAGTAAGGCGCGGAAGAAGAGGATTACGAGGTAGAGGAGGAGGAGGATGAGGAGGAAGGACCTAAGAGAGAAGCAGCGGGTTAGTTTCTAGACGGACTCATTGCGCCCTGCGATGAGCGTTTCAACTCCGGCAGAACGTACCTTTTTTACGCCATTTGAGCGGCGACCTGGGTTGCGAGGACCTCTATTCTGGCCGCGATTCTGCCTCTGCTATATAGGACGTCAGCGACAAGAGCCCAACAGGAGAACACAGCCGCGGAGGCTGCGGACTAACTGACCGGTCTTTCTGCGATGATTTCGTCCAAGCTGCGATCCATTCTGACGCGTAAAGGAGAGTTTGAGAATGATAGAGAGACCACTAGTGTATTAAATGATATTGCAACACAAACGGTCAGTGAAAGAATATTGATGGAGATATGAATATGGAGGAGTTGGCCTGGGATACAAGCTTAACGGGAAGGCATAGGCTATATCACGTGAAATGCACAGGTCCCCAACAATGCCCGACTACTCAAAGAAACCTACATGGCAAATCATTGAACTTGAATATGTTTCTTATTTTTTTGTGCAAGTTTACTTCAATCTCGGGATAAGTCTGTATACACAGTGAGAGTATGTGAGAACTCGAGTGCAAATATAAAAACTCAAAAGCCCTTACAATGCAATGTTGGCAATCGCCAACCCAGACAAACCCGCCATTGACCTCCAGTCAACACCTGTACAACAAACAAAAAGTAAGAGGTGGGGTTTCAGAATTAGAAGCGCATTAATCGCTGCCATTAACAGGGGCTTGGGCGGAGTTCTCATTCATCATCTTCTCCATGAAGCTGATGTAGTCGTACTTCGCAAGCTCTCTGTCTTCCAGCAGATCAGGACCCTCATGCTGAGGCATAGTTTTGACAAGGTGTTCAATGATCTCGTCCGGAATGAGAGAGTGCCGAAGGTCAAGCTCCGTGACATATGGCTATAAAAGGGTCAGTTAAGACTCAGATACTCGGGTTGAGAAGAGTACATACCTTGCCATCAGCAACCTCCCGGAAACTCTGGAATACCTGCTCTGCAGTATTCTGGTCCTCTGTTACGCTGACCATGAAACGAATGAACTGTTCGAAACTGACTCCTGCATTTTGGGCAAGCCTAACAGGACCACATGTTTCAACGTATACCTGGTGCATCTCCTCCTCGTCATACACAAGTCCCAAACTAGCAAGCGCCGCGGAAAACTCGAGCTCCTGGAGCGTATTGGACGAATCGCGGTCGAAGTGTCGGAATACTGATTCAAACTCTTCTAATTGAATGGGGGTAAGGTTCGTCATGTTCCGCGCCACGAGTTGGTTATCCAGAAAAGCCATCTTCTTGGATATGCTTGATTTGACAAGGCTCAACTCGTAAGCCAATTCGTCCAATGTGTAAGTCGTGTAGTCATTCTCCTCAACATTTGCCTCCTGACACTGTTCCTCCAGTTCAGCAATGGTCTCCAAAAACGCATCAAGAGGTGGTAGATTGTCGTTCAGTCGCTTGACGTGGGATAATTGGTCCTCAACTTCTCCATCGAGACCTGAAATTGCAAGGGACAATGTCTTCAATGTCAACGCAAAGTCGTTTGCCTTGTCCGCGAAAGAGCGGCGCAGGGCGTTTTTGATGTCACGGATGGTTTCGTTGATGAGTTGACTGCGCTCATGCTCGTCACGGGTTAGACACTCCCACTCCTGGTCGCAGGCTTCGGAAGACAACTCTGGCGGAGGATCGTAGGCTCGCAGGCGATACGTGCTCAGCTTTGTTTTGATATTACCCAGAAGCGCTGCGAGATCCGACTTCTCGGCTACCCACTGGCGTTTCTGGTTTCGCTTATACATGGCAAACTGGGAGGCCTGCTCCTTTGCATCCTTGTATGTTCCTTCGAACGACGCGTTCTTCCAGTCTTCGCGCTGGGCCCGGATCAATCGCAGGAGTTCCCGCATTCTCTTCTCGTAAGAGTTCTGCATCTCCCATGCGCCGTGCATGTTGTTCACGAACTTCTCCACTCGCCGTCCCGCATTCTCTACCCTCTCAAGCTGCGAAAAGGCGTGGAACCAGTACGCAATATATGTCATCAACGATCTTTCGTCGGGTTTCGCAACATCGCAAACGTCGTCCACATCGAGCAGGTCAGGAATGCCGACTTCGTTCGTGGCGATATCGAAGGCGAGCTTCATGTTCCCTCGGTGGTCGTTCTTATCCAAAGCATCGTAGTCAATCAGGTCTGGCCGGTGGATATCTAGTAGCGCACAGAATGCGAGGCCGTCATTCCAGCTAGTAGAGAAGTCTCGAACCTCCACACCCTCATAGCAGGCGGTCTTTCTTTGACACCACAATAAAAGACCGGCCTTGGCGGTCATACCCTCCTCGTTGATGTCGCTGATAGTGAATCGGAGAATGAGCGTCCAAATCAGACCGAGGATGATCTTCTGGTTACCGTCAACAATATCCTCCGCGCCGATATTGGTCATCTGAATCCCCCTCCCCTTGATGAAGTCCAAACTCTTGTTGACATTTTCGAACTTTTGCACACGAAGCTTGGGGTTGGCGGCATATCGACCGAGCGAGTCTCCGCCTAGGATCTCAAGGAGGTGGATAAGAATGACCTAGTAACGAAAAGTATCAGCGACCTGCGCTTCACTGCGGGACGAGAGATGACTTACGCCGTTGGAAAGTTCGTGCACCAAGTTATTCACAAAAATATCCCGGACCTTTACCTTGTTGTTGAGCCTGCAATGGAGAGAAATGTCAGTCGGTTCGGATCAAAATAGAGGGGGCGGTTCAGTCGCAGAGCTCCAATACAAGGAAGATACCAGAAGGCTAGGGTAGGCATCGAGGGGCGGAGGAGGGGAATCGGCGTGGACGGACCATTTTGTGAATGTCTTCTGTTGCACATTAACCCATGACTCGTCGACCGTCAGCATGATGAGCAATATGAAGAATCGAAAACATCCAGGGTATGCAAGAGAAGTGTATCGTTGCAGTTGTCTTTAGCGATCGAGGGGATACCGCAGAGCTATCGGATTACTATTGATAGAGAGGATCGCCGGAATAAAAAAGGGCAAGATCTTCATAGAGATCAGAGTGAGACTGAGATAAAGAGCGAGTCTTCAGTCGCACTCGGGACAAAGACAAGGCCGTGAACGGGAAGCCGGCTGAGATGAAAGGAGTCCTCGATCCAGTCAATCAATGAATCGGAGTCCAAGGGGTTCGTCCGGCGAGGATGTCAACACAATCCCCCTCCGCCCCGGCCCCCCACAGCAACCGCTGCCCGGCATTCTTTGGGTTGCGGTTCTGCCTCCGATCAATTGGGTTCCAGTGAGGGGGATTGCGATGCGAACATTCAATCAAATTTTTGTGTGAGATGCAATTGCCCTTGATATATTGTTGATTTGGTGCAGTGAATTCTAAAGCAAGCTGACAACGGCTGTTTGCATCCTACTCCTTAAGCGCCCACTGCATGATAATCATACAGATATTGTACCTATTTTTGGCAGTATATACGGAGCACTGTCTACACATCCGGGTCGCCTTGGGTCGGGTTTGGGTCTTTATCACCAGTTTATGGTACTCCGTAGCAAAGCCCAAAACCTGGCGGTCAATACTGCCCGATAAGCAGTATCCGCATAGTATACTGAGTCGTGCTGCTCGTATCCAAATGCTTGACCACGTTGTATGAGTCGTATCCATTCCAGTCCAAGACAAATTGATCATCGCGCACGCCGTATGGAGTAGATACAGGCCAGGCTAGACTCCGATAAGCTCCATTCATCGCCCACGTCTGAAAAAAACAATATGGTGGAGTCTGCGCGACGATAATCTAAGTGGCTGGAGGCTCGTTTTGGCTTCATCTTGGAATGGCGGAGACCGTCACGGGAGACGACTAGGTACACGGCTAGCCGATCGTTTGACAGTGCGTCTCGTGCCAGGCTTTCATCAATTGCTCGCTCAATTTGATAAATCAAGGTTTAGTCTTCAAGGTGTAGATACTCAAGTCAATCGGGTGCCAGCGCGACGTGAATATTACGATGTCCTTTAATCATAGAAAGCTGAAGCAGTACCTAGTCGATGTTGCCGAGGTACTCGCTGAGGTGATACTCCGTACAAGGCGCCTTTCATGCCTGCGCTGCAGAGCCGAACACGGTCGAATATCGAGTCGGGGTATACCCAGAGAAGAGAATCGAAGACAAGACAGGGCGGGTGTTCATTATTAACGTAGGTCCCGTCATTTTTGGGGCGCAGGCTTTAATGCCGGGAGTAATGCGCGTGGCGCGGAAGGCTAACCTGGCCAAATTAGGAAATAGGGCGTAGCTCTATTTCTCTATAGAATAAGGCCTTTAATAGGAAGGCGTTGTGTATCTATAGTAAGAACTAATTACTAATTCTCTAAGTCAGAGTTCTGAGTTGAACTTGGTGTTTTGTGCGTCATGTGACTGGCCGCCGCCTTGGCCTTAGGCCACTATGCATCATGTGACTGGCCGCTGCCTTGGCGCGGGGCTAGTTCGGCGCCGAAGTCTCTTCTTTAGGCGGCCTTAGGCCACTATGCGTCATGTGACTGGCC